CCTATTTAATATAAACAAACCGAGAGAAAAATATAAACTGACAAATCACTATAGGTCAAATTTGTTTTAAAGTCAATCCCAGTTATGCATCGTCAATCATAATATTCTTATTTTTCTTAGATTATTATCATATTGTCCTTGTCATTCATTCACTAATATTAATATGATACGACATTTCAGATATATTCTTGATGATTATAGTAGTTAGTTGTTGATCAAAGAGACCGATATTGATTGATTAGTAATTTTTTACTTCAATTTTTCATGTTATAGACAATAATAATTAAAAAACAGATGATCATATCTGAATAATTTTGGAAAGAATTTTTTTTTAAATCAATTTTTTCATCAATATTTTTGTATTTCTCTCTATACAAAATCAAAAACTATTGTTTTCTTTTATTTTTACAAATGTTTATGATTAATGAATCTGTCATTATTATTTAGTCATTATAAATATTCACCAAATCAGACAATTCATTTGAAAAATTACAAATATATGGCGAGACATTTTGACAAGGAGAAAAATCTATAATAAAGTGAGAATGATCAATAATAATCATGTGTGTCATACACATATATGCAGACACATGTACATGTCTTGTTTATGCAACTACGTAGTTCTGTATTGTTCTATGTATTATATAATCAAATAAGTCAGATAAAGAGAAAGACAAAAACAAACGAGAGATGATAATTATATGGAACAGATAAATTATTTGCACGTGAACAATCAACTTAAACATGATAGATCTTGTTCTATTTAATATTTGATTTTGTCAATCATTCAGTATGATTACATGTCAATCGTTCAATCTGATCAAAGAATATATATACTCGTTCTTTTTTTGTTTATATGATTGAAGATTGATCATAATTTTTTATGTTCATTGATATTGAGACAAGTGTGAATAAGATTTATTTTCATTTCTTCGAAACTCTATATTTGATTTCTCATGATCATTTTCACATAATATATCATTTTTTTTTGTTTCTATAAAAAATAAATAACTCAAGAAGACATATACATCAAAATGATGATGTTATTATGGTTGTTAACAATAGATTATACTTTTTCCTAATAAATAAATTTTGATTATATGCGAATAATGTGATATTCTCTTTTATGAAATAACAATGTGCAAATAACGAGAAATAAGTATGTGATCATCTTTCATAAAGTTATCAAAATATCTCAGCTACAAGAACAATCATAGATGATATATTGAGAACGACAATAATCTATATCGTGTTGAGATTGTTATGTAATCATCTAGTATGTGTATCAATTAAGATTGATTCTATGAATGTAAAAAAATCTTTTGGAAGGAGAAAACTTTCTGTTTGTATACATTCTAAGACATAATTATTAAACAAATAGGAATAGGATACATGTTGGATACATATGTTCAGATGATTGATGAAGATGTTGTTTAAGTTATATGCCGAAGATATTTAGAACACTCGGATGATTTCTTTCTCAACTATAAATACATCTTACAGATTCAATTTTTTTAAAGTTTTTTTGTAATTCTGCCGGATATATTAATAAGATAAAAAAAAAGACATTTTTTCTAATATTGGAAATATCTTGTAGATCAATATAACTAGACAGATCAAAGTTTTCTTCATGTTACATTCATATACAAAAGGAAAATTTTCTTGTTTACAATGTAAAAATAATTTCCTGTTTGATTCTGTATAATTTACATCTCATTAGATGAAATTTATCGAACTCGTTATCCTCATATAAATAAATTACTAATATGTATAGTAATATCAATTTTAATAAAAAAAGGTTTTCTAAAAGCTAACTTATGCATATTCTTTAAATTATTGACAGTAATCTTAGCATGTGAGACACTTAACAATATGTCTTTACATATCAATTTGAGATTTCGTAGAGCATCTTTAGTTTTCTTGCTTTATTATTGATTGCAACATTGGATCAAAGAATTTGTAAGAGTAAAAAAACAAAACTAATCATTGTATTTATTCCAATAGTCATATTGTCTTATTTAATTAATGAAAGAATAAAAAATCAAATAGAATGTTGAGTAGTAGACCTAATTTTCATAGATTAAAATGAATTATTTTAGTTTTCATTCATAACGTATCTACTATATTTTAAATGTGAATAAAAAAAAATGTTATATAATCATTAACTACACTTCGTTTCTTTTCTTAAACATAGAATTTGTTTTTTAAAAAATTTAAATTTAACAATCGAGAAAATTTGCTGCCATGAGTAATTCAAGTGCTTGTTCAGGTGCAATTGGAAATTCAGGTATTTCAATTGTTGAATTTGAGTATCGAGCTTTGTAGGCAAAATATGAACAGATCCTTGCAAGAACCTAAAATATAATATTGATTAAATCTACATTTAATAGAAAATTTTTATTATTGTGTGTTACCTGAGAACTAATACTTCGAAAATGAATAACATTTGTTTCATTTTCTGCATATTGTCCTAGAAGAAAAAAAAATAATGAACATAAAAAATTTATTTCATAGAAAAACAAACTACAAACCTGGCCCACTTAACATAGCTTTGATTGTTTGAGAAGTAAGAGCAAGGTCACGTTTAACATAAAATTCATGTTCATCAGATGAGATCAATTTAACATACATTTCATTTGGAACTAAACTATTAGGATTAGTTGTATCTTTTCCTATTGTTGTCATTATTTTTGTTTTTGGCTCGTATCGATTTACAATAAAAAAGATAATGTTTTGTTTTTGAAATTGTTTTGTTTTTCGCAATAATGAAATACCAACAGTCGTTGACTGACTTTCTTGTGTTGCTACATACACAGAAAAGTTGATAGGTTATTAAAAAGACCAGTTAACGTTTAGGAAATCTATGAATATATCGATCTCTAGAGCCATCTTTTGTACGAGAAAAAAAAATAACTAAATTTTAATTCTCTGAAGTTATTTACATATTGTTGTTTTTTTTTTGATATTATAGTATGTTCTTTAAAGTTTTATTTTATAGAATTTGGTTTATAAAAAGATATTCAATATGATTATAGTCTTATGTTCAGACTTACTCTCTAACTCTTAATAATTATTATATGACATCTTCATGTATACCGTATTGAATGATTGATCGAATCATTCAATAGTTTAATAATAATGATTGTCACTTCTAAACATATCTCAAGTCGAACAACCACGCTCATAAATTTTTGTTTAGGCAGGATTATAAATATAATTAAAATAAGCATTTTACTGTAAAAATGCAAAGATAAACTTCTTATCTAAATTGCAAGTTATAATTATGTAAAAGATGCCTTCTCAGGTCAAAATATCAAACATAAAATCTTGTAATACTGGATGATATCGTACGAAAAATTGTAGTCTCAGATATTTTAAACTAAATCGTACTACAAGATTCTTGAAAGATCTTACCATTACACAAGATTCCCTATGATCTTATAGTGATATGTTACAAAGTAGCAAGATCTTTCAAGAATTAGAGTAAGATTTGTGAGACTACGATTTTTGTCTGATCCTAAAGAATCAGAAGTATGATCTTGTAAGATCTTATCATTCTAATTATTTGACTTGGGCTATGTAACTCATTTTGCTCGTACGCTTTACGTCTAAACTCGAATTAGACAAATCACGATGTTTACTTAAGTACAACTGGTTTTATTTTAAAACATTTATTAAAAGTGATTTTTTGAATCAGATTGGTTATAGTTAAAAATAAAATGATTAAGGATTGTTTAATGAATTAAGTTTATTAATTAGATAGAACAGTTAAAAATTGCATCGAACTGGAATTGTAGAATATCAGATGTTCTGATACAGAAAATATATTAATGAATATACAATTGAACATTTTAATAATGATTTTTACTATCCTAAAGACTAGCTGATGAAGTATGCTTTTACATTTCCATTGATAATTACTTTTAGGATATTCTTGACATTACATTAGGGATTAGAAGTTGACTGTCTTTTCATATCTATTTTTTTTTATAAGATTGTTTGAGTAACTATTTTTTTGAGAATATGCAAAACATTATAATGAGACTAACATATTGAGTCTAACAGTTAACATTGGAGATTTTTTATTCGAAATTCTTCTAATTCCAAGAATTTTAAAGTTAACACCTACTACTACTTCAAATCCTCGCTATATTCTTTTTATTCGATTATGTCCAAAAAAAAACTTCATCAATCCAAATAATTGTCAATCATTGTATTCAATGATATAGACAAAATAATAACCTTTTCTTTTTGATTAACGATGATTCGAAATGCAAATTTAATAAATATTTTGAAAAATAATTGTTTATGCTTGGATAAACATTGGTAACTCATTTAAATATTTCTCGAAGCAAAAATTTGATTACATTAACCTTGTGAAGTGTTACCTTCAAAAAATGAGTATTCGCAGTATATTGTAAGATTTTGAAAATAATGCTCAAATATTCAAGTATATTGTTTAAATACTGAATGATATTTATACACACGAGAGTACCTAGTAACATTAAAACAATAACAATTTATTCTTAGCTTCAGACAATCATTACATGAATAAATTAAAAATAAGATAATAATATTATTATCAAAAAGAAAGTATGTTTTTCTTTTAAAGATAAATCTTTGAAAGAAGTATTAAACGTATAAAAATTAATGAGATTTATAATTAATCTTGCATCATTCTCTGCATCAAATCAGCTCGTGTGAAGTTTATTATTTATTAGTTTTTTTATTCAACACTATGTAAAAAAACCTTTTACACAAAGGAAAATTAACTCAAACTTTCTTATCGATGACATTATTAAGAGAAGGCTAAAAAGAAAAAAAATTGAAATTATTAAGAAAAAATAAACGAGAATATAACGAATGAATAATAATGTATAGAGATCACTGTTATGTTCCAAACTTAGATAGATCAATTTGTTTGTTAGGTTATTTTGTTTACAATTATGTGCTGTCACATATGACTAGACTGTCTATTTTCTTTTGATTTTTTAAAATAATCAACTACTATCACTTTCTTCAACGGTTGCAAATGGTATTGTTGTACTTGAATCAGCTTCTTCAAAAAATAATGTCAACCATTTTTTCTCTAAACATTCTTCTAATTGTCGACATGATATAAGTAAATTATCAGATTTTTGAAACCAATCATGATAAATAACACCTGCCGAATGCATACGATGGCCTGCATCCGGAACTAATAAACGACAACGTAATAAATCTTTGACTGCTTCTGTTGCAGGAGTAAATAATTCATCTTGAAATAATTTTGGAATATTATCAAGTTGTGGTAATATATCCATGTCTTCATGAAATGGAAAATAGCCAGTTAGACTAACAAATATAATCACACCAATAGCCCACATACTAGAAATATAAAAGACAATTTAGATAACTTGTTTTTGTTTTTTTTTTATTAAAAATATAAAAACATACTCCACAGTTTTATTGTAACCTTTAGCACGTCGCCATTGATCAAGAGAAACTTCCGGGGGTAAATAAGCAGTAGTGCCGACTTTTGTATAACGTAATGAATGTTCATGAATTGTTCGTGCATAACCAAAATCACCTACAGTGAAATACATTTGCAATATTATTATATAATTATAATCCTTAAATATGACTAAACTGAAGTTACTATTCATAGATGGAAATAATATCAAATTCAAGGAAGTTTCTAGCTGTGAGCAAATTTTTTTTCATTTTTTTATTAGTATTTTGCATTCTTGTATGTCAGCTCAAATATATTATTATCAACAGATTATCTTTCGACTTGCTGAGTTGATATATATGTCCGTTCTTAAGAGAACTTTTTTGGCAAATCGATCGTCTATTTTGAGTCATTATTTACAGAATGATAGTTTGAAGATACTTTTAATCAAAACGATATTAAACAAGTATAGAAAAGTACATACCAACTTTTAAATATACCACACCATCAGGAAATATGTTGATTAAAACATTATCAGGTTTTAAATCACAATGTCTATTCAATAAAAAGAAAAACCAAAAACATCTTATAGATTTTTTAAATATAAGAATTTTTTCTTTGTTTTTTTACGCTATATTTTTAAAATGTAGATAACGAATAGCAGCAACAAGTTGAAAAGCAAGAAATCTAGTAACATCTTCATTAAGACGAGCTGGTGGATCTGTATTCAAAAGAATAAAATTTAACATATCAGTATCTAATCGTTCAGTAACAAGTAGTATATGTTGTTCAAAATCAAATATGCCTTCAAATTTAAGAATACCTATAAGATAAGAAAAAAAAAGAAAATTTTATAATTTTTCTTTTTGTTTTCATACAAATAAAATTTAATAAAACAAACCCGGATGATTAAGTTGAAATAAATAAGCAGCTTCTTGTTCAATATTTTCTCGATCTTTTTGTGTACATTGTGTTGTTTGAATTTGTTTTATGGCAATACGTACACCATTACGACGCATTGTACCACCAAATACTATACCAAAACGGCCCCTACCAAGAATTTCTCTTTCATTCATATCATATAAATCAGCAAAATCTTTCGTATCATTATCAGTACCACGAACTATTTTAAATGATGAACGTGTTTTATGATCTTTTGTTGATTGTACAGCTTCATTTATTGTATCAAGAAGTAAACATGCTAATTTTTGATAAATTACTGTTTGAGACGGTGGTACTCCAGATGCATTATCGAATAATTGTGAACCATTTGTAGGTGAATTAGATGACGATTGAGATCGATAACCTGAAAAATGAAATTAATATTTAGTATTACTAAGGATTAAAAATGTTTTTTTTTGTTCTTTTTGTGTTTTTGACAAATAAAATTTACAAAATATATTCATTGATTTTTTGATTTATATTTTAAGTCAATTGATTTTTTTTTCTCAAAATTTTACCTTCAATATCTGCTGCTGGTATTTCAAAAACATGTTTATTTCCTTGATCATCTTTTTGTGTAAATCGAAATTTTTTCTTATCATATGATATTTCTGCACGTTTACTATGTCGACTTTCTCGACCGAATTGTCCTGTTGCTATCCATACACCATCTTTTTCATGACAATTTGTTAATTTAATATCTCTACGTTGATTTTGTTTAATATTCATTGGTGCTGTTATTGATGATCGAGTATTTACATTTGAATTTTGATCTTGTTGAAAACGTGCACTTCGACGTGGATTAGTTGTTGAAGAATTTGATGTTGATGTTCCATTTGTATTATTTAATGAAGAATTTGAATTTTCATAATTTTTATTTGAATTTGATAAAATTGATTTTGATGCAGTTGATTTTGACGGTGCTGAAAGTACTGATGATGATATAATTGATGATTTTGAATTTGTTGATGGATGTTTTGATATTGAAACATTAAATAGCTTTCCAAATTTTGTTCGTTTTGATGGAGTATGAGATGCACTGAAGATATCATGATCCTTATATACTTGATCTTGTGACATTGAACTAAGTGTTGTATTTGATGATTCAGGACGTAGTGATGGACCATGTCTTGTATCCGTACCTGGACAATCAGGTGGTAAATGTTCAGCACATTGATGATGAAAATCACGTCGACATACTTTACATCGTTTACCCTATTTTGTTTTTTTTTAGATAAAGAAATAAAAGAAAGGATGTTAATTAAATAAAAATAAATAATATAATTAAAAAAAAAAGCACAAACTTGTTTTATTAAACCCCACATAAAATAATCACAAACTGAGCAATATGTTGGTTTTTTATAAGTATGTTCAGTAAGTACATGATCACGTGGTTGAGCCGATGTTTCTTGATCTGAACGCCATATAATTATTTCAATAAAACATGTTGGTGTTAAATCACTTGAACGTGTTATTAATTTTAAATTTGGTGGTTGATGATCAGGTGATATGAGAAATAATTTGATATGATGACGATGATTATTCCCTTCAAGACTACCAATAGCTTTTGATACCATATTAATTGCATATTGATGAAGTTCAGCAAGAACATTTGGATTTGCTTTATCGATTTGAATTGATTGATAAGTTATACCAAATTTTAAACAAATAAACATTAATTCTTGAGATGACTGTCGTGCTGCCATTGTTTTGATTGTTGTCTTTGGAGTAAAAAAAAGAAATACTTTCAATTTATCATATCTAAAAACATAAAGGAAGATAGATTTGCTCTTTTTTTTTTCGTTCTACTCGTTTTTTATTGGTTATGTCTTTTAAACAGGAGACTGTCATTAGAATATTTTTAATGTGCATCATTATCTTTGACAACATGTTCCTTCAGGATATTGATAATAAAATTCTTCGTTTTTCCTTTCTCTTAATAAGAAATAAAAAGAAAGGAACGATTAGAGTAGTTTTTTGTGAAATGTGATGAACTCGAGAAATTTATTGCATGTTTATATTAATTGATGCATGAATACATTCCTTTATAATTCAAGTATTATTCAAACGGATTAAGAAGAACTATTGTTTTTGTTTATACTTGCATATGTGAATATATAAAAAACTCATATGAGAAATATACTTTACTGTAGACATAAGCTGATGCTGCTTCCGTTCTGTGTTTTTTTTTTTGCATATACTTTTTTTTTTCGCATACATTTTGTTTTTGCATAATGTAAAAGAAAAATGACTCCTTTTTCTTTTTGTTATTTTTCATCTTTCTTTTATGTGCAGACAAATAATTGAATGACGCAAGTATGATCATGACATTTTTGTTTTTCGTCATTGTCATCATGCATAAGAAAATGGACGCGTAGGTTCATCACGGTTGGTTCTTATTAAATTTTATGCATCCTATTTAGTATATTTGGTTTAATAATGAAAAAAAATTGTTTATTCTATTATACGCAGTAGAAGACATTAATAATTCCATCAATAAAAAATGAATCTTAATCTTTTTACAGTGTTTATGTTTTTGTTTTCTTTATCTAGAATGCACAGATAAAACCATGTAACGAGATCGATTATCATCATGCTAACAAAATAGATAGAAATATTTTTATGTATTCAACTTCTATGTTGAACACAGATCTTAATCATCGAACTGAGTTAGCTCGATCTTATAGAAAAAGTACTCTACTCAAACAAATAAATAAACTTCACATTTTTACAATACTTAGATTGTTCTCTGAAGAAAAAAAACAATAAAATATGATTACTCTATTATGTATAGTATTACATGTAACCTACAAGGTGCTCATTTGCATTCGCCCAAATAAGATATATTTATTTATTTATATCTTAAACATACCCTTTAATATTGTTTGAATTTGTTCATAAGTTGTAAGTCTTTATTAATTATTGTAAATTGACATTAAACGGTCGTCACAATAATACTTAAAAAAAAAAGAAAACTATAAACTAAAATGATTAGTGATTGTTGGACGCATATGTCGATTATTGTAGAAAATAATTGCGATTTGACTAATAGATAATTTCCTTACTTTCTTTTTCTTATCGTTTATTTGCGTATTTTTTTATTTTTGATTTAGTCTTATGATACGAGAAAAAAAACGAAGGTAGCTATTAATATACAGTGATTGCAAAAAGATTTATTTAGATTTCATTCTTAATGCATCGTCATCGTTGTTATGTTACGCTTCTTTCGGTCTCTGTTCTCCTGTTTTTTTCCCGACTACACATACACGCATTCATTACCTACGCCGTATGTTGATGAAAAAAAAAGGGAGAGAGAGAAAAAAAAAAGCAAAAAAAAAAAGCAAGACGTCTTACCAATAAACAACCAGGTTAATCATAGAATATACCTCTAGACACTCTGTTGCTTAACAGATGTGCGCTCTCTGTTTATTATCTATCATTTTTGTTGCATATTCATTGTATTTTTCCAATCAACACACGCCTTATGATATGATTTTTACGTATCTGAATTTTTTTCTCCTTTACTTGACACGTGCTGTTGTCATCGTAGCCAGTCTTAGTTTTTTTTTTTATTGATTTTTATTTTATAGCAGACGTATAAATATGCAGAGCATGATCAACAATTAATGATATCTCACCTCTCATGACTTTTGTGTCTATATATGCAAACGTAATCATAACTTCTAAAAGCATATTTTTATGAGACTAGACGATTTCATGTTGATGTAGAAAAAAAAAAGAAAAAGAAAATTTAGCTACTGATGCAATCTCAGAATAGATAATCATTATGAAATTGAAAGAATTTTTATTTTCGAAGTCTTTTAAATCTAAAAATATATCTAATCAGATTTGCATTATAATAAATATGCTCTAAAATATTAATTTTATAAAATTTAATTTTATTCAATAAATATAATTTATTTTCACAATTCAAACCAAATAGAATTATATAAGTAAAAATCAAATAATTATTAATATGGAATATCGTTTATTAAACGAATAATAATGATAATCATTCTGATTAGAAGAAAAAAAAATGTGGAATAATATTTCCATAATATTATATATAGGTGAAAGAGTATTAAAGCATTAGTTTTTGTTATCATTACTATCATTTGGATTAACTAACAATATCATGCGTCTGCAACTGACACACTATAGACAGTCATAAATACTTGAAAAAAAATAACTGAAAAATACAATCTTATTATAAAATGTTGCTAGAATGGAAACAAGCTTTTTCTTTGTTGTGTTTTCATTTAAAAAAAAAAGAAATATCAATAAGAATTTTCGTAGGTTTCAATGAATCAATATATTGTAAAAAAAAATACTGAATAGACTTTGAAGACATCTAAAGCAATTAGTTCTCACTTTTGTTATATTAATTTTGAAAAGAATAATAGTAAAAGTTAAAATTCCTAAAATGTGACGATGAATATTTTTACTAAATTAATTCAATCAATAAATAACAGGAAATGTCGATATGAAATGAAAACATAAGAACAAATAGTAATAAATTCTTTTAAATGACATTGTGTCAATGTAAAACATATCATTACATTTATTTCCAATCTAAAACAATAAACATTATCTATAGCTAGAGATTAATCCATTATTAATTTTATACACTTACTATATCTAATAAACAACTTGCTTATATTTTCCCGAAGATTATTATTAAGTAAAACAATTGAGCACATATGAAAGAGTTATATGATAGACATTGAAAGAAAACAATATGTAAATATTGATAATAATTTGTATATGATTATGTTTGAAAAAAATACACGATGAAATATGGAATATATCAGCTCAGAGAGTATTGTTTCATTTCTATAAACGCAAAATAGTTATTCTTTAGTAGAGTATATATACAGAGTATAGAAATATCAATTTTCAGAATAATTAGACCAATATCAAACTCAGTGTTTCCAATAAATTGTTAAAGAGTGATGTCACTCATGTGGAAGTTTTCATATTACTTTGAAAACAATTCGATAGTTTTTTATCTATTGATTTGATGATTTTGTTTTAGGATGTTTTGCACGGATTCATTCTTAGTTTGTATTTAGTAAAATGTTTGAGAAAAAAATCATTATATCGCTCTATTTCCTATAAATAATGATTCCTATAGGAACGATAAATATTATCAATCTGTAATATGATTTACTTTTTCTATAGCTGATAATAAATGTAAGTGCTCGTACTACAATCTCTGATCATTGTTATCATTGAAATCATCTTTAGAAAAAAAAAATATTGATCACTCTCAGTTGATAATTTCCTGTTCATCGTTATTAAATGATAACAATAAATTACTAAAATATGTAATAAATTATTTAGATTAAGTTACAAATGCAAATTCGTCCATTAATTGTTCAACATATTGAATCAATGAATATGTTTTAGAGCATGTTCTTAATTAAATAAAATACTGTTTTATTTAATATGAAAAATTAATAATCAATGAGAAATAAATATCTTATTTTTGTCTATTTACTTATTTACTTGTGTCTAGAGTATGAATCTTCAGTTGCCTATCCAATTAAAATTATTGTTCTTTTTATTTAAACAGTTTAATTAAACAGAAATAATTCTCAAATATTCAATGGATAGACTCGAAAATTCTGTTATTGTTTAAGTGATCCTAAGAATCTACATATTCTTGTCGATTACTAATAATAGAATGACAAGAAACAAATGACATACCGTTCAATCTAATCTCGTACAAAGTTCCAGTCCCAATAACACAGACCTAATGAAAGTTTTATGGAAATTTTCTTTGCATTCTTTAAATCTAAGTTCATCTATATATTATCTAATTTCAAGAATCTAATGAGAAAACCACCCGAGATGATACCTTGCGTTTGAGATAAGACTCCAGTCATTACGTAGAATCTGTTGAGACTAGAAGAAACTTAGAAAGATTCGATTCCATGCGCTACTCTTTTGGAGTTATGACCGTTACACTGAATTTTTTACCTTTGACAGCGCATTGATAAAAAAGGTAGACAAACGCATTTTGGCATAAAACTTTGTTCATAGATAGCTCTTGTACCTATTGGAATCCCCTAACAATTTCACCAAAAACAAATATTTTCTTTTTCAGATATCAAATACACAGAAAGAACTAGATTTTGCGTCCTTTTTGGCAGAATATCATGATTTTTTGTGGATTTAATATCTCGAGGAAAGACCATTCTTTTTCCCAGAAATTTTACGAGATTCTAATAAATTTAAGAGCTGTCTATAAACAAAGTTTTATGTCAAAATTCGTTTGTTTGGTTCTTTTTATGAATACTGCACCAAAGGTAAGAAACCCAGTATAACGGCCATAACTCCAAAAGGGAAATGGTATAGGGAAGAATACTTCTAGTCTGAACAGATCCCATGTAATGACTAGGGTCTCATATCAAACGCAAGGTATCACCTCGAGTGATTTCCTCATAAGCGTAAAAATGAATTCTATTTTGATTTTTATCATTTCTAATATCGTTAAGTGATATATATATATAATGATTTATTTTTATGTATAATCATTAACTAAACATTGAATTTATTGTGAATATGCTAGATTCTATCTATTCACTCCAAGTTATAGTTTCAACCAGGGTCATCAATTCATTATATCATAAAGAAAGTCCTTCAATTTCTTTTAATACCAGTAATTAATAATTAATATTTTCCTTTCATCATAAAATAGAATACGAAAGACATCATTAATAGAAGCTTGATCGTATTTTTTTACCATAGAAGAACTACACTTGAAACTTTTTTTAACGACATTTATTATCTGATTCATAGATTTTTGTGGGCATTTCAAAAATCGGTCAGAGAAAAAACGTGAATAGCTTTTGAACAGTTCAAATGATTTGCATGCATGTTTCATAACTTTGTTGGATGTTCCTTTAAGTATTATTCAACATAGTTCAGACCAAATTTCTGTGCGTATAAACATTAGAATTGAAATAGTTTTATTGATGACCGAATTTGACACCGAAATAGTAAATGAACATGATACTGAAGAGGTCTCTAAACACTTTTGTGCGTCAATGTAGTTCATATAACTCACAATGAAAATGTGTCGGCGGGAAGGGTTCTGGTTGTTTGTAATTTTCTTTTCAATAGCATTAAGAATTGTGATAGAATTCAGTAAATGTTTCAACAAAATTAGATATCTTCGCATTTTGATAATGAAGTATCTCTAGCACACTGATTCAAAGATATGATTGTTTTTAATGAACTTCACACTAATTGGACTTAGCATCGCTCAAATTCTTTATATGATAACACATGAAAGACAATGTCTACCACATATCTACTAAGGATCAGACATGTTTCATTTTTCAAAAGTTTGAAAACAGTGGACATGCGAGTTTCATTTGAATGTAAACGGTTTGAACGGCGAGTGTAAATAAAATTATACGAAACAAACTTTAAAGAAAATCGAATAAAATGAAACAAAGTTCATGTGTATGGTTTGAAATGTTCAAGAATTATCCACGTTCTTTTTTTCGACAGATTTTTGGAACATCCTGTTGTTCTGTTTCAACATTATTTATATTAATTAAAAAATAATTAGAATAATATCTAATAGTATTTTGTTTTGTTTTTCTCAATATTATTGTCAACCTTTATCACCATGCCTTAATCTTTTTTTTTTAAAAGTTTCACGATTCAATTTTCTATAAGAACACATTACAAGTTTTGCTACATCATTTTAAACAGAAATATACAAGGAATAATCTTGCAAGGCTCTAACATATCCAATTGATAAAAGTTGTTGTTTTAGAACAATATAGTCTTTTTTTCTAGTTTTCTACAAATCTAGGAACATGATAGAGTATATTTAGGAGTATAACTCAATGCGTTCTTTCTCATGATGTACATTGTTTGTTTTAGCCAAGTTTGTTGTTTTGCCCAATGTATTCAAATAAAGAACCCTACTCAAATTCAGAGATTTCAGTTTGATGTACTATTCATTTTTCTTGAAATAAAGTTGAGTTATAGTGACTGATTTTTTTCATTAGTTTAAAAGTCCAACGAATAGACCTAAACAAACTGTTTTTTTATTTGTGAAAGTTGGTTATATTGAAGTCTTGCAGTATTGTTTTATAGAATTCTTTTGCTTAACATCTTCTAGTAAAACTTGTATAACGTTCTTGTAGAAAATTGAATCGTGAAACTTTTTGAAAAAAAAGAGGCCAAGGCATGGCGATGAACCTCGTCGGCGATATTGAGAAAATATTTACGAGGGTAAACCGTTTAGGCATTTAGCTTATTGCTGCAGAGGTACTGCATTTTTTAAATAAATGTCGTAGTCTCCCTCTCACATGTTTCTTGATTTGCTTGTATCCTGAAATGAAAGCATACCACAAAACTGCAGTATCTCTGCATCAATAAGCTAAGGGCACGAACTCTTTTAAAGATATTCATAATTCATATAAGTCTACAAAAGTGATTCGTTAGTTGAAAGACTTCCCTCGTTAGGAGGACTTTTATTGTGACACACTCGTTACATGTAGGATGAGTACGAACATGTTGTTAATACATATCTGATACACGATGTCAAATTAATATCCATTGCCAATTGATAAAATATTTTTCACATTGAAAACAAACAAATTATTTTATTTAATTAACATAATAGAAAAAAAAAGTTTCATACGATCATTTGATGAAAAAAGTAAATTTTTAATTAATAACAACGGCGTTGAATCACTCAAACAAGAATCATAAAAAAATAAATAGACTTTATAGGGTTTTGATATTTGACATATTGTTTCAATATATTTTCGTACATGATTTATTTCAAGTTGAGAATTAATATAAAGATATTTTCGTGGATATTGTTCTATTGTTAATGATGGATCAATATATTTCTTACATAATTCTATTTGAAGTGCTATTGGAATAGTTGATTTTTTTATACGACTTACAGTTGATTTTGTTTTTAATGAACGCATACGTACATGATTTTGTTTATCAATAAAACGCATTGGTGAAAGATTTTGTACAAGACGAAGTTTAAGACGAAGATCTTTTGGCATTGATAAAGAATTTTGTTCATAAAAATTTTTTTCATTATTTATTTCATCAACATTAAGTAATGGTAATAATGAATGTAGAATATCTTCATATTGTCGATCTGGTATTAAACATTTTGAAATATCAGAAAATGGTTGAAGATTTATATTACATTTTGGACATTTATATTCTGAAGGTGATAAATTTTCAAAATAAACAAGAATACATGTACGACAAAATGTATGCATACATTCTTTTATTGTATATGGATCAACAAGATATCCATTACATAGAGAACATTGTAAAATTGGATTAATATCAATTAATGAGAAATATAAAGATTCCATTGAGAAAAAACAAAATTTTTTTGTGAAATGTCTTTTTTAAATAATAAAAAGGAACATTATTTGCTTTTGACAAAAGAGTACAAAAGGCAAAATATGGATACCAATGGTTGTCATCATATGGTGTGCGCTAGTTGGATTGTTATTATTGTCGCTAATATCCAATGTTGATCTATCTATCAAATTTTCTTTTTCTTTTTTTTTTGGTCATAATAATTCTTTTCAATAGATTATGTCTTGTAATTGTCAAGAGTTAGGAGTACATTTAAGAAGTTGAGAAGATGGACTCTTGTAAACTACCCGATTATCCAAAGAAAACCTGAACCTCAAAAGGTAAACATGATCACTCGACATAAGTCAAATGTATATTCAAACAAAAACAGTTACTCTATATGGGACTGTATGATGATCTAAGCATTTTGTTGAATATGCAATCATGTACAACCATCCAAATATACAATCAACAGTCATTATCGTTCGTCTAAACAATAGAGATCTATTAGAAACTAGATATATGACCAATTTTGGATCCATCTTATTTTGTAGTCGGGGTAGCCAGCAAAGGAGATTTTCTGACGTTTTCGAGTGATAGTAGACCGTCGCACACTGGGAAAAATATCAAGATCGACATAGAATCCCATATGAAATAATTGTTTGAATATGTATTTAACCTTTTATTGGATGATCGCATGATTTACAAGAGTTCTGAGAAGACTACGACAAAGCCTGCAATATGAACTACAAACTTGATTGATGCGCATCATTCCTCCATTTAGAAACTGATTTCATCTAACTCACTGTGAGTTAAATGACTGTTGTAATCAAGAAAGCGTCTCTTCGGTTGAAAGTGTTTTAGTAAAGCGATAAACTAGGTTGTTTAAAATGTTTCTTTTGTCAATTTTCTTTACGAGATAGATTATAAGTTATAGGCATTTGTTCAATGTTTTATGCACTATCTGATATGCAATGAAATAATCTTTTGTTTTTAAATAGTGTAAACTATAGATAATGAAGACTTTGTGTTCATAGCTACTTTTCTTATTAAACTGTCGTTAGTCTATAGAGGAATGAAGTATTCGAAGGTAGAATTGTTTTCATAAGAGTCATACCATGTAAGAAAATAATTCATCCATCTTAAAGTTACTATTTCGTCTCCGATTTAATTTATCATAGAATAATGATTATATCAATTACATGTTTAAAAGAAAGTACATTAAGGGTGTGGGTGTAGGTGCCGATGGTCTATCCATACTTCCACATCGACACCTATATTGGCAGCGACCCAGATACTCCCACCCCCACACCCTATAAATGGAATTCTACAAACGAACATCTATTCTTAGTTTTTCATGATCATGATGAAGAATTACTGCAAAGTCGCCAACAATAAGGAGAATCGTTCAAATTTTCAATAATTGCAAATTATTTAGGCTATTCGTATTAAAGAAAAAAGATCGATTTCTTCTTTTTTCGAATGTATTCCTTTGTGTAACTAACATATTAAATTCTTAAACGTTTACATTCTCAATAAAGTATAATATCATCACATCATATAATAATGCTTCGAATACTAGGTGAATTACTTTGTTCAATAATATAATTATTTGAATTATCTAAATTGTGTTGCATGCAATTTTCCGACTGAACTGCTTAATCTCTTTATAGTATGATTAATCCTTATATTCTTCTATGTTAGAACATTAGATTATTTCTACATAGTGAATCGATTTAAATCTCGTAATAAAGAATGAATATTATAATAAACCTCATAAACAAGTTCATCGTCATCATATCATATAACATAGACATATACGTATTTTGCGTGAATAAAATCTTTTGTTGGAGTGTGAGATTTTGAAAGGTCACGTCTATTTGTTAGTGCTTTTAATAATATTTCAGTTTCTTGAGTTAATTCAAATTTTACTTGTGTTTCCAGTGTTTTTTTTTTCTAGTAAATGTTTCATTGTATTCGTCTGATCTTAGAATTTCTCCTAAAGAAAATAAATTCGTTGGACTATTTGAAAATTACTTTTATGTCGTAGTTTTTTAAGTGATTGCTACATTTATTATATATTTTCTAAAGATATCCAACTTTAGTATTTAGATATTTTATAACATTAGAAAAGAAAAATTAATTGAATTAGAAAATTTGAGTCAGAGACTGTCATAGGGCCGGACTGCCCTGCCCTGCTCTACCGGGCGGGACGAATTTTTATTTTTAGCCCTGTCCTGAGGGCAGGGCAAGACAGGGCAAAATAGTTTGCCCTGCTATTTTTTTTCGTAAAAAGTCATTGGAGAAATATTCTCTAAATGTGAATATAAAACTTTGAAAACATATATATTCTATATAGCTTCACCAAATGTTGATAACTCCATGTCTTCAGTTGATTTCATTACATCCTTTCGATCATATACTGCTTCTAATTCAGCACCGTCTTGCAAGAATTTTGTCGATTTTGAGAACATCCAAGATCTCATAACACATCAAAAGCATTCATATCATATAATAAGAAATGAATCTTCATCGTCTGCTAAATACGGAAGAATCTTCGATTCTTGACTTCACTAAATAATGATAATCAATTAACAAATATCTACTAGCTTTATTGACAGATACATTGTTTTCATATAAATATTCTATTAGTGTCACACATTCACTCAGAAAAACCTAGAGAAACTGGACGAATATCGATAACGTTTGATTTAAAATCTGTTACATGGCACTATTTTCACCCTTTTATAATATTACCCTTTAGCCTAAAATTTAGATTTTTTACAGTTTTTAAGAGTTTCTCAAATTTTTTTGATCAATTATAATTCGTTAATAATCTTAATTAGTAATAATTGGCAAATCATATTAATCGATTAAAAAGAATTGAAAAAATCTTTGAAAATAGAAAAATTGGAACTGGAATTAAAGCATGGACCTTAATCGGATGGATCATAGAGTCATTTTAATAGACTTTTAATCGAAATGAATCGATTTTAATGCGATTTCTTTCTCTATTGTTTTGCATGAATAATAGTCTGTCGAACGAGGAAAAGAGATACGACTATTGAGTATAAAAACGACACAAGTTTTCACTAAGTTATCAAATCCCCTCATACCTAAGCTCAATGTATAGACCCTGCAGGACGCCCTGGCCTGCCCTGCCCCGCCCTCAGGGCAGGATCAGAGCGGATTTTTATTTTTATCTCTGTCTTGAGGACAGGACAGGGCAAGGTAAGGCAGGGCACAGGTCAGAAAAAAGTGCCCTGTGACGGTCTTTGATTTGAGTTTTAAAAGAGAAAGTGGATAATAGGTTATTTGAATTTGTAACGATTAATATAGGTTTATGATTGAATAACAGGTAAGTCATAAAGCATGAGCCTTTCAGTATTTCGACTATAACTTCTTTTTTCTTTTCAACCGCCGATATCTAGGAGTGGCACTTTCACTTTCCTTTCCGAAAAGAAAGGAGAGGAAAACTATAAGGTAGAAAGAATAATAAGTTTTAAAAGATTTCGTATATATATGATCCGTTCAACAAGTGAGCTTCTAAAAGACATATCCTTAATATTTTCAAATTATTTCCTTATTGTTTCTCAATTTTTCTCCCTCATCCTTTGCATTTCTCACTTTCTAGACTATTTTTGACTTTCTCTTATTCTAGTTACTTGATCTGACATTCTATCCTATATTTCTAGAGCTATATCTCTGCCTACTTCATGATTCTCAATGAATTCCTACTGATATGTAAGTTAGAACAAAATCAGTCTTATCTTAGATTCTAATGAAAATGTATTATTCTTGATAATATCACGTATGTCTCACTGCTGTCATCAACAAATAGTTTTCACTATAACTATTAATTTCTTTTAGTTCTAAAGCTTCTTATTTTTATTCATAATTTTCAAGTGAAACAAGATAAAATAAATAGTTAATATGCCATAGAGGGGAAACCACAATTGATCAATTTCCATCAAGTTTTAGTCTCAAATCTTGATTTTTGCTTGTTCATGTTGTTTTTTAATAAATAGAAAAGCTAACTGGCAATGAAGATAAACTGCACGGCCTTATTTTATGAATATCAAGGATTTAATACTTTATCATTTTATGTTTTTTTCTCAAATCTTAGCCCGAAGAGAAGAACAAGCAATTTAGTTTCAAATATAATTAATGTCTTTTTCAAGATAGAATGTATGTCTGAAGAAGTTGAGTAGCTCCAGAGCGTAAATAACTAGAGATCTGTGATTTCCATCACTCGAAATGTGGGCACTGAGCGACGTCGATCTATACTAAAGTCAAAAATTTGAGAGATAATCTTAATGGGTTTCTATGGAGATATGCGGTGAACCACTTCTCCATCAGCAAGCGTTATTAAATTTCCAGCCGAACTTTATTTATCTTGTATTCCAAGGTATACTGTATAGCAAAGTTTGGTTTGTTATTCAGAAACTTAAGGGCAAGAAGAAAAAGTTATTACAGGAGATGGTCTTCAGTTCCTTCTGCCCTTCAATGTGGCGATTATGATTCATCGAGTTCACAATCGAGTCAGCTCAAGTCTACAAGATGTTATGAACCCAAACCTGCTTATGGAAGAAAGCTTTAATTTTTATATGTTCTAAGAACATTTATTGATCTTCAAGTGTAACAGTATTTTTTTTCTTGCCATCAGAAAGAATGAAAAATCCTTTGGCATTAACTGTGATGCACTGAAACACTATGCAAAGGTGGACAAGATTAGTGAAATTCTGAAAAAAACCAGGCATGGAATACCAGTCGTAGGAAAGTGACTTCAAGTCGGAGAAAAAACAAGGAAATTCAGGAAACAAAGATCCATTAGAGTTGCTCATATTAAAATGATTGCATTATTCCCTCTGTTGTCGATAATACATATACTGTAAATTTCTAACAATATGAAAGATTTCAACTTTCCTTTCTCAAAGCAAAAGGGAAGTTAAAGTACCACCCCTAACTGAATACACGAAAAAAAATTATTCAAAGATTTTCGAAAATGTTCATTTTTCATTGTTTTCTTAGACTTTTTAATTCATAACAAAAGTCTAGGAATATACAGCTTTGTAGAGCAAATTTCGCTCTATCGCTTGATATATTATACCAAATTATTCATCGCTTGCGTGCAAAAAGAAAATTGGCAAAGACAAAAATATGTGACGTTTGTTTACGACAGCAGACCCTGAGTCAATGTTCTGTCTGATAACTCGTGATAGATTAGACATACAGGACTAAAGAGGGTTGTCATGAGAAGGTCAAGATTGGGAGGAGGCGGAAGTATCGACAACTTCGGCAAATTTTCGTTAGATGAAAGCAAAAATTTTGTATGATTGGCGGAAGTGACTCTTCCTTGTCCCGTCTGTGACAGTTCTGGAGCTGAAAATTTGGATTTATAGGTACTTGAACATGCTTTTCGATTTCCACCGCGCAAATTTCATGAGATTATGATTAATAAATAAGAAATCGACAATTATATGTGACCTGAAAAAACAATAGGCTTCTGGACATTTGTTTTTTAGTTTATTTAAGCTATCTAAATTTCGAGACTTACCCTTCGATGGTACATAGCAAATCATAACTGAGTACTAATCTTCATTTTTTCTATTAGATGGCCAAACAAATGTTGGCATTATAATAAAATTCTGCAGAATATTGAAAAAAAGAACCCTGGGAAGTTTCTGAATGTTATTTTTTCTCAATAATGTCTACATTATTCATTTATCCTTGTACAATTCAATATATATTTTTAAAATAAAAAATTAACTATAATTATATATTTTGTTGATAATATCATCAATCAATGGATTATTATTTGCTATCTAGTTGATGTTTACTACTCGTAAGAGATAGTTTAACTTCAGCGTGACTTAAATTTAAATAAGAATATTTCGAAGAAATGACTAAATCATGTAAGCATGAAAAAACAAAAATAAATATTTGTGAATCGTAAATTATATCTTTCTTTCTATATAGAATGTATTTTTCAAAATATTATAACGAAAAAGGTGTGTACATATGCATGCATTTGTTTTCTTCTTTGTTTTTGTTTCGTTCTATACTTTTCAGCCTTCAAGAATGAATCATAGTTATGTTTGCTGTTTGTGTTGCATGATTAATATGGAGTAATGCATGACACAATCATAAATTATCACAAAATATTTGACTGTACGATTTTGTTTTGTGTTTTGAAAAGTTTCCCGATGTCTAATACAATGATACCTTGGCTTTGTTTATTACCTGTGGAAATTCTACATCATATATTTGATTGTCTCGATGCATCAACAATACTATTTTCATTACGTTGTACTTGTCGAAGATTAAAAACAATTGTTGATAGTTATGATCGATATGTTCTTGATTTTCGATCGATATCGAAGTCTGATTTTCAATTATTATGTTGTTTGATTAATCCACGAAAAGTTAAATCGTTAATACTTTTTCCTAAAGATGAAACATCAGATCAACTTGAATTATTTATGACATATTTTCGTATTCAAGAATTTACTCGCCTTCGTTCATTAACTTTAATTGAAATTGAAGAACGTCAATTGAAAGTTCTTTTAAAACGTTTTTGTATTCCTTCATTAACTTCATTTTCATTTAAACTTGGAAAATATGATGATCGTCGTACAAATACAACAGCAACACTTCTATCATCTATTATTTCACAAGCAAATCTGCATCATTTAAATCTTGAACTTCGCTCAACTCGTATAGAAAAAATGATTTGGCCTGCTCAATGTTTAATTAAATATTTAAAAATTGGTTCGTGTGATGAATTTTCTCAGATTTTTACAATTCTTCGATGTTCACCTCATTTACAAACATTTGTTATAAAATTTTCAAGTTATGTCGATGATACAATTATCTCATTGGATTCTTTTCGAACATCTTTCCAACAATTAACTTCACTAACATTAGAAAATCTCCGTGCGAATGTTAATAATCTTGAATTATTGCTTTCATCGATGACTTCATTGACTTATTTAAAATTAATTGGTTTAGGACATTTTTTAAATGGTAATCGATGGGAACAATTTATTCAAACGAATCTACCATGTTTGAAAAAATTTGAACTTTTCGTTCAGGAATGGAAAGATGTTGATTATACTTCAGTTGATATTGAAGCAATTATAGAATTATTTCGAACATCATTTTGGATTGAACATAAAAAATGGTTTTTCACATGTGAAACTATTGAATTATGGCCACGAGTAATCAAACTCTATTCTATTCCACTTTGTATATCTACGTTGACTTATGAACCTGAATCTAATAAAATATCATCATCAACTTTTTATTCAATAATTAACAACGATATGTCAATTATGGATAATATTGATACAATTGACTTTAAATTTTCAAAATTTACGTTGGATGACATTCAACAACAGGTAGAAATAACTTTCAATGTTATATTTTTCTCGTTGTTCAAAAGATATATTCGTACATAAAATCTTATTTCAATATTTTACATGATTAAGTATTACGAGCATGTATGTTCATGCCTTTATAGAGGATATAAACGTAAGACTCTAACGAGAGAAATCTACCTATGCATCATGTAGATCCTAATGGGTTATGAATATTCCAAAATGAGTTCGGATCCATAGCTTATTGCTGTCAATATATTGTATTTTTACTATACTTTTTCATACAATGTCATGGTCTCCCTCAGGAATATCAGAAAGATTGATTTTCGAATTTCAACTTGAAACTTTGCATAGAAACAAGCTGTAACAAGAATAGTTTATTTTGAAGGTGATAAGTATTTTTATTGTTTCTATCTCAAGATGCAACCATGATAAAAGCACGTCTTTTAAATCGCTCATATATAGCTACAGACTCAATATTCTAATTTCAGGACAGGAACGGATCAAATAGCTTGATACTTTCGTATTTTACCTATTCTAGTTAAGACTTGTTTCTATACAAAGTTTCAAGTTGAAATTTGAAAATCAGTTTTCCTGGTGTTCTTGAGAGAGAACACGATATTGTATTGAAAAATACTGTAAAAATGCAATATGTCCGCACTAATAAGTTATGGTCTCGAACTCTTTTCAGGATATTCATAATCCATTAGGGTCTACATAATGAATATGTTTTCGACTTAAAACTGATTTATTAGTTGGGAACTTCCTTCGTAAACCATATCAAACGCTACATATTCCATTTATAGTCATTGATGATCTCATCAATTTTACCTGAATATTTTTCTTGGTATAATTAATAAAAAGTCTCTTTATCGAGTATCTGCACTGACGAACAATATTACTAAATCCATTTTGAAGATTTCAAGATTTTCTATCAAAATTTTTTCTATTCATATTCGAAAATTCTAACTTGAATGATCTCGTCGTCTATATTTTCTCTTGTATAAATGCTTCATGGCAGAATTTTTCGTATCTTATTTTTTTCTTTTTATAGCAGCAAAGTCTGCATGGTCCCTTGTTTCGCCGAATAACAAACCTCGAACTTGATTACTATGTCCAACCAATACCCAATTGGGCTTCATTCATTTCAATACTCGTTGATCTGACAACAGTCACTCAAATCAAATTAACCGGGATCAGAATTTTTCAGGCTCATCCAAATATAATAACGGATCTTAGTACTTTACTTCAACAAGCATGTAGTCTTACTTCATTAGACATATGTTGCAACTATGATAGTAGACGATCAAAGTTAACTGCACAGGATATATATTCAATGACACCATCACATGTTAAACATTTGGCAGCGTCAATTAAAAATTTAAATGAAGTTAAAATTTGTCTCACAAAACTCCAACATTTATTAACTGCTAGATTCTTCTATAGGAGTAGTTCATTTTCGAATGTAGTTGTCGAATGGTTGGAACAAGAGAAAGCTGGTTCATCATACTTTGTAGGTGCTGTTTTTACAAAAGTATGGCTCGTACAAAGTAATAATCAATTTAAATTAGTCAGAATTGGAAATAAACGTATTAAACTCACTGTTGATCATTAAAATTCATAAGCTTTTGTTAATAATTGGATTATTTATTTAATTCAAATACATATTACCGATCTTATATTTCTTTTTCTTTTGTCTTAAATTTATTAGTTCAATGTAATGTAAACAGAATTAAATTAAGAAGTTTTCTTTCTTTTTTCAATATGAACATATTTATATAATACGAAGTGTATCTCTGAAAAATATCAATCTTCATTTTCTAAATTCTGTTACTTTCCTTGAGAGAATAGATTTGAACATGTTTGATTTTGTTTTTATCTGTTATTGCTTATTCTAACTCAAACAGTGTAGTATTCGTTCAATTAACTCTAACGTCAGTTGCAGTGATGGAACAATGTCATGTCTCATTTTCATAATAAACAATATCTATATCTATTTTTACAACGAGTAGATTTTGACTTAATCGTTTACAATCACATGGGATTTTCCCATTAAATTTGTTTTTTTTTGTGTTTATTGCTGGAGCAAACAAAAAAGTGAATCATTGGACTTTTTTTCTTCGGAAAAATAAATATCCATTTATTTTTAACGAAAAATCACTATGCATTGTACACCTACGTACATTAAAACAAGAGTGGAAAAGATTTATTTAAAAGTAAACTTATTGCTTTTAATGTAAATATAAAAACTATTATTTGACATTTATAGTGTTGATATTAACTTTATGACAAAAGAGAAAAGCAAGGGCAAAATCGAAGAAAGATGATTACTTTATGATGTATGAAAAGAGTAGTAATGTTTTTAATGAAACCTACGATGATTTATATTTATAAAAAGAATACATTCTATTTATATGGGAAAAAAAATGATTTAGACTGAAGTCGATCAACATTCTTGTTCTATTTGTAAATTTGATGTATGGACCCTATTGAATTTGAAGAATAGAAGACATTCAGACAATCCATTTCGCTCACATCCAACTCGAAATCTTTTTAAACAGTGTACCAATTGCAAAGATCAATGTTTCAAATTTCCATCTGGAATAACTTTGATTAACATGAAAGATTATTTTTAATATCATCAATTACTGCATTGAAATACCTATTGAATGACAATATATATATATATTGTTATAATTATTTATTTTGTATAGAAAATATTAAAAGTGTAAAGATTTTAATATTAATGTTTACAATGAATTAAGCAAGCTTTTCATAATCTATCAAGCATGAAATGACCTTCACATAAATCAAAGTTTGCAGTCTAATTATAGAAACAAAAGGTAAAAGTGTCATGTGATCCATTCTAATAAGTAATCAACAAATCTATATCAAGGGATTACTTACGGTCATACTGTTCGCTAATTGTTACACTTATTTATTGAGTGTATTAACATTTGAATGCCATATAATTCGAATTATTTAAGAATAAATTATCGATTTAAATATAAATTTCGTTATAAGATGACCATATATACATCTTTAATTATTTCCTTCGTATACTAAAGATTGTTTTTTTACGTTTAAAAAATATTAATACCCGAATATTTCGTATTTGTATTTTAATGGATTAAAACAGAAATCGGTTGTTTGCTTTTTTTATTAAAAAACAATGATTGCGCTGATGGATAACGTCATTATCAATTTAGAAACTTTAACTAGAACTTAATGTAAACAATATCTTCAATCTGCAAAATCAATGGTAGATGATAAAAATAAGAGTACAACCAACTTATACAAACATTGATAAAAAAAAATTATTTTATTTCCATTATTTTATTCCAAATAAATCTGTTTCATTTTTTTTTGGATACACACTAAGTTGTTTACATCAAAGATATAAACTGAATTTTAAATCAAATATCCTTTATGAAGATTCAATGAATCAATTATTTCATTTATCACCGTCATAATAACGAATAAACTCATCTCGTTACTTGTTATTATAAACTACTCAAATAAAACACTAAAGAATTATCAACACTTCATCTTGAAGGTCAATAGTGATAAAAGAATTTATTTTTAATACACAAGAAACACAAAAAAAAACAGAGTCTTTCTAGTCAACAGTATTATTTATTCTAATAAATTTTTATTTTGTATAAATCGTTATAGAATATATTTTATTTTGACTATTATATTAACTTATTTAATTTGTTGAAATAAATTAATAAAATTTCCGATGACAGTTGTATTTTGTGGTTATACTATCGTTATTGTTTTAGTTCGATAAAGAATATTTTTTGATAGAATATCAAATATAAAACCAATAATTTGTAATGATATAAGTATTGATATAAAAATAATTAAACGTAATGTTAGTTCATTATGATTAAAAGAAAATGTTTCAAGATAAAGACAATATAGAAATATGGATAGATTTTCTAATGATATCAATGCATTAATTGTTATATCATCAATTGAATAATGTGTTATTAAAGAAAATATCATTTGTAAAAACATTGTATTTTGTTTATGTTTAAATTTTGATCGATGAAATAATCGAGTAATCATTAATGTTAAATGTACAATGAAAAAAATCATTGTCAACAACCAATTATTAAAATGAAAAAGAAAGATAAATGTATAAATACGTGTAATAATTAAAAATAATCGCGATAAAATTGATAAAATAATATTAAATGAAAATCGTTCAAGAATAAGAAATGTTGATAGAAGAGAATAATTTATTATTAAATAGTAGAAAATACTAGTTAAAATAAATGTTGGTGAAGAAGGAAGATGAATAGACATTAGATTAAATGAGGAAAATAAGTATTGAGTCCAATCCGACGACATTGTTCGACGAGCTAAATGCTTATGTTCGTTATCAAATATTTGCCAATGACTAGGAAAAAAAAGGGATTTTAATAATTTCAAAAAAAAAAACGCTCATAAATCAGTTTAATTTTTACTTATAAACATTCAGAGTATATAACCAATGTTTTATATCTTACATGAAAACTACTGGTAGCAGCATACCTCTAACGATCAGAGTCACTCTTCTAAAAATAGATGTTCACTTTTTCGAAATTATAAATTCGATCTTCTGAAAAAGAAAAACTGAATAAAATGTGGCGTATGACTCAAGATTTACCTATATCGGTATGATCAGATACAAAAATTGCTTTAGGTATTTCACAAATACTATTAAAATTTACTGTTATATAAAATCTTTTTTTTTGTCTTTTAATATATTTCAAAATACAATGTTTAATGTTATTGCTTTGTTTTGTTTACTTACGCTATTGAAGAATAACTAGGAATTGTATTTGTCATTGACGTTGATGATAAATAATCATTATTTGATATCCATTGAGGAATAAAATAATTCATATTTAATAAAGATTTAGTTGATTGTTGAAAATTATTTGACCAAAAATAAATATTAAAAAACGTTAAAAATCCCGTATGAATAGCATAAAATAATGTTAAATAATGAAATAATTTTTGTTTTTTTCTTTTATATAATGATAAATGATGTATCATAGATGAATCTGTCCTATGTGATATATTTGTTTCGAATGTTGTTGATGATGATGAAGATGATGATGAATTTAATATTTGTCTATTATAATATTTATCAAACATAATTGTGAATAATTCAACAAGTTCATACAGTAAATAAGGACGTATACTAAATGGTATTAATAGTAAATAAGATGGTACAGTATTTAATTGAATTAAGTTATTTATCCATAAGATCATATCACATAAAATAATTGTACTAGTAAAACTAATAATATATATATAATTTGTATGATAATAAATGTAAAGAAGAACAATATCAATTGTATTTGTAATAAGAAATGATAAAATAAGAATAATAATAATTAAAAGAGATCTATTTGAGTATGAATGTGATTTAGTTAATAAATGATCATTATGTTTTATAGAAGGAACTAATGATAATGATCTATTGTTTGACGTTGAAAATGAAAAACTTTTAGTTAAATAAATTGATTTTTGAAATTTTTTATCAAATTTTTCCGATTGTGTTCGAACAATTTGATTTATTGTTGGTGGTAATAATGAATTAATTATATTTTCATTTGCAAATGGAATATTTTCACATATTGTTTCATTATTCGATGATAAATTATGAAATGTATTTGTACTTGCAATAGAATTTGTACCAAATGTTGTCCAACTATGACGATAATTATCATTGGTTGTTGATGGAAATATATAAAAATTTGTTCCATGTAATAAACGTTGTTGATAAGAATTTTCAAGATTATTTTCTGTAGAAATTTGAGTATTGTTGTCTTCACTAATTGATTGTTCTTGTTGTTGTTGTTGTTCAGTGACACTCAAGTCAAGATCGGCTAGACTTGTATGTTTACAAATGAATAAATGACATTTTGGACAAGCACTTAAACTTAATGAATAATGTAGAACATTCATGAGATTTACAATTAAAATTTTCTTCAAATAAAATTACACATTTAAATTAATTATCTAAATAAAATTAATTACTAAAATAGAAAAAGAAAGAATACGAGACATTAATTATAATAATAATAGTAATAATAATAATAATAAGTATTCTAGTTTGAATTAGATTAAAATGTATTCTCTCTTACTTTAAGACTTACATTGATTATAGATTAAAGTTTATATTGAAAGATAATCATGAGTGATATGATCTGTCTTGTCATGGTACTCAATGACAACCATTGAAAAGCTTGATCACACACGCGTATCTGAATGAACTGACTACATCAGAGATTAATATTGATTAGTATGTGTACTATACTATTCAACACTTAAGGATGAAAAGAGAAAGGAAAAAAGAAACAATAGAATGGTCAATGCTTCATGATGTCTATTTTTCTCTGTTATCAATTTCAAATTAAAGTGTATTATATATAGTTCATAAATTCAATGATGAACATGTATAAAATACTGACTTATTGTTATTTTAGATTTCGTTTCATTTCCTTTTCTCTTTTTTTTTTATATCCTACTTCTTTTTGCTTTATTGACGTTTGATGATAAGCGTAGGTGATGGCGATTGAAAAACGGTCAATTAAACATAAGCAAACATGCGTGGGATGAATTTTGTTTTGATTGTACTATATGAATCAATCAGCGATCTAGCAATATTAAAAGAAAAAAAAACTTCTCTTCTCGAAAAGCTATACTACGCTTTAAAATGATAATTAAGCAAATAACCTTGAGAGAAAAAAAAATATGTATGTGTATATATCGCACTAATTGAACGTGTAACATATGATGATTTGATTTTCTTTCTCATGAAATATGAGAAAAGAATCGAATTATCTTTTCTTATTGTCATTTCAACCTTTTCATTCTCAATTTCGTATTCTATTGAATTCAGTTCATCTTATATGATGAGAAGCATTAAAAAAACGATGCAATAATACACATTGAAAATACTATTCAATCATGCACGCAATGCCAATCGAATAAAGAAAAAAAAAAAAGAGAAAAGTAACAGGTAAATTATTCGTAACTAAAACAACGCATTGTTCAGCCCTAACGGATAATTTTATTATTGTCGACAACCTTTGAGAGCACTGATACATAAAAGATTGAGAGAAGTAAAGGGCATTCTCTTTTTCTTTTACAATAGACATATAATGTAATGCTGTTTTTCATCATGATCATCTCAACAAACTCCCGATGGCTATATAATCATTCTGACCGAAACAACATCCGGTCGACTGACTGATCATTATAATGATTTCCTAATTTGTTCTCTTGTTATATTTATTCACAGTCTATTGTGCTTCATTTTCTTCTTCTTATACATGAATGATAATTTTTTTTTTCTTTATACTATATAAATTCTACAATTTTTTTTTTTTTTATATATAAAATTAAACATCCATTTATTGATATAAATGTTTCGATAAGAAGAACATTTTTTTTTTTCTTTTACTTCATGTAATACATCGAATATCATTAAGTAAGAAGTATTTGTGAACATTGAAGTAGTACATCATATGAACTATCATTATTTTTTTTTCAATAAGACGATAAGGATAATTGACTTTTTAATGAGAATACATTGATAGATAATTTTTTAAAAGCGTAGATATATAACAATTAAGTGAAAAGAGTCTTCTTTATATTCAAACGATAAATCATTAAAGCAAATGGAGATATATATATATCAGATATTTCAAAAAAAAAAAAGTAATATTGATATTGTACATTTAAAAAAAGATTTATGTTATATTAAATATTTGTATATATAACTTTGTTAAAATTGGTTTTTGTTTAATGTATAGATACCAATATTTCAACATGTTATGATAATACTTAATTGATGTTTGTCTACTAATTATAGAACATCTTTTCATAAAGTTGAAATATTCTCAATCTTGAATTCTTATTGAGAATTGTTCAATCTTGATGAAATTCGAAATTATTATATTTGAAAATCTGAAGATATAAGACAATGTTTAAGATATAACTCCTTCCTTTCTATATTCTTGTCTAGGGCAAATATTTCTAAAAGATTCAAAATCATTTAAATTAAAGTCGGAGTGACGTTGAAAAAGGGATGATTTGATAATACTTATATTATTTTTGAAATATTTTGATTTATAAACATAGATTCTATATTTAAGCTGAAGCTAATAGCATTAGTAGAATGAACATATCAAGTTGTACTTGTTAAATGTAAAAACTACGATAAGCTACACTTTTCGGAGAAATTCAATTATGTTATTGAACTTCTTTACTCTATGAATAATTCTAAAATCCTGTTTAAAGAAAAAAACGCAGCAATTTTAGAAGAGAAAGTTGTCTATAAATTCATTTAGCTTTTATCTCTTAAAATACAGTTTCATAAATATCTTGAACTTCTATCGCTTTAATTTTATATCTCGATGCGTTGTTAAAGAAACATTTTCCATACTACACTATTTTCATCTCATTATTAGGATACATGAATTGAGTGATATAATATTACATTTTTTCGCATAATCTTCATTTATATTCTTTTTTGCGTTGAATGTCAAAAATAATATAAGTATTCAACGTTATTATCAAATCAACTTTTTTTCAACGTCACTTCGACTTTAATTTAAATATAGTAATCCACAGATTTATTATCAAATTTTTTTAATTTAAAATGATTTTCGATTAGAATTACAATAAGCTATAACAATTAAAGATTGAAAATATTTCAACAGTATGAAAAAATGTTCTATAATTAGTAGACAAATATTTTACAGTTTTCTCAAGATTTTTCTTCAGATTTCAAGAGACAAAAGAATAAAATAAGCACACGATTTAATACATTCTTAATTGTATATATGCACTACCATAGCATAAAGTACGAGTACTTGCTAGAGTATATCGAGTTGGTCTGGGATTCGAGTCCGAAAATATTGCTCTCGATGGGCTCCAGTCATTAAATACAAAATAAAGCGGAAAAAAATTGTCTCGTATCTTCGGGACGACTATTCAATTTTGATAAGAAAATTTCATTGAATATCAAAGTACGGTTATACTAAGTCCCAGTTCGAAAAATTTATACCCGACGTGTTCCAATATTTGCTCAGCTCTGCATAACATATAGATATCTATAATTCTTAGAATAAAAGTATTCACTTTTTACTTTTTATATAGAAATTTTTTATATTGTTTCTATGGTCTATATATGAAAACGTTATCTTAAATACAATTATATCTATTAAAAAGAAAGTTGATTTTTATATATATAATTCATCATTCATTTTTAATAGCAAACAAACAAATACTGAATAACATCTAGACAGTGATCGAAACATTATGAATGAAACTAGTAGATTTTTTTGTTTGAATATCACTGTTATTATTATTAGTAGTAGTAGGAATTGTACTAGTAGTAATATTTGATGAAGCATATATAACTGGTATTCGTCCAGTTCGATGATTATTCATCTGTATATGAATAAATGGTGTTGTACTATCATCTGTTGATGAACTTGCTGTACTTGATGATGATGACGATGAATAAGAAAAAGATGGTCGATGATGAACTGATAAAATAGGTGTTGATGGTGAAAGTGAATCATTTTCAATTTGATTAAGACTTAAATCAGAAAAATGTCTTTCAATTGTTAATTTTTTTGGAATAATAGCTGGTGGTAATGATGGTTCAGCAAGAACAATATTTCTTAAATGTTGTTCTTTAGGTTTTTTAAATGGATCTGGTGAATATGATGTTTTTGTATGTAATGGTTTTTTTAATGCAGATTGCGTATGATATGGTAAAGAACGTCGAGTATATGGTGTTCGACGTATATATGGTGATGAAATAATATTATTATTATCAATAAGATATTTTGATGATAAATTTGTTGTTTTATCATAACTATCATAAAGACGATGAGATTTATTTTTCAAAGATGATGATATATTTTGTTCATAAGGAAATGGTTGACATGCACCATTACTAAAAAGAAATGAAATATTATTAATAATTCATAAGACTAGATGATAAGTTATGTATAAGAATAAATTATTATTGAATTTTAATCTCATATTACTTATTTGAATAATTTTTAAAAAAAAACCAATCAGTTAGCGTCAGTAGTTTATGAGAAAATAAATCGTTAGAAAATTATACTTCTTTATAATTTGAAATTGTGCAATTTTCTTCTTTTTTTTTTCTCTTTACCTTTCTTGTCGTTGATTTTTTCTTATAATTTGTGTAAATGCACTATTACTTGATATTAATAATTGAGATTTATTTTGATTAGTTTTCGATGATTTTTTCAATGGAAGATCTTGTACAACAAGACCAGTTCTTTTAAATGTATTTGAAGATGAATGTAATGATTGTAAATTTGATAAATTTGTTGTATGTTTAGTTGATAAATCTAAATAATGATGATTATTTGTTGATGATTCACAATCTGAAACACCTGAATCACCACCACATGATGATGATGTTAGATCTTGACGTCGTCTATGTGATGATGATAAATTATGATTTGTTGATAAAGAATATTTTTTATTTATTGGTGGTGTTAATGTTGGTAAAGTTGTTAATGGAGATTTGATTTTTTCTGATTTTTGTAATTCAAAATCATGAAGTTTATAAGAACATTCAACATTATTTAAAGATTTTATTGATTGACGACGAAATATTGGACGGCAACATATATATGGTACAAAACCTTCATCATTATCAGCTGTTTTTATAAATAACCATTCATTTATAATATATTGTGCATTAACAGGAAAACCTTTAGAGAAAAAAATATTTAAAATAAAATTTTTGTTGAAGGAAAGAAAAGAAAAACAAATAATCAAATTAAATACCTCGTTGAATTTCAATTTGTTTTTTTTGTAAACCTTTTCCATCAGGATTAAATGAAACAACAACTAACATTGGAATATTTGCTGGTGATTGTGATGATGCACGACGTAATTTTTCTGTAATACTTATACTATCTTCTTTATCAGATTCATCCATACTTGCGCGACGCATTAACAATCGTGTAGATTTATCTAAATAATCACAAATGTCATTGTAGAATTCTACTTATTAGATTTGTTACGGGAATAAACATATGGTCAATGACATGATATATACAAGGACATGAAGATTAACTAATAGAAAATTTTCTTTTTTTTAATCATAACACTCGAAATTATTATAATATTCTATTAAAATATATATTTAAATCTTTCGAGTTTGACATTGATTTTGTTTTGCTTCCTTCGATGAATTCTATACGTATGAAATATTTGAAAATTTACCTTTACGTAAGAAGCCATAATGATCCGTTGATTGTCGTTCATTTTTTTTTGTTAATGATACATCTGGATTATCATATAATGAATCTCGTTTAGCTGTCGTACACAGACATGTTTCTAAATATATCAAGAACAAAATGCAAATAGATTATATTTCTGAAAAAAAAAGAAAAAAAATAAATGTCTTCAAATGACAATGATTCTCACGTTTATTTGTACTAATCGAACAACGAGTGCGTGCTCGTTCAAAGAAACGTTTTAATAACATTGATGATAGTTCAAATGCTTACAAAATCAATGCCATAATGAATAAAAATCAATGAATATATTATATGGTTTTAGTGTCACGCGTCGTCAATAATTTCACTACGATTTTGTTTCTTTCGTCACAATTACATCAATTCATACGAATGTCAAATAACTGTGCATGTACACAAATGAATACCGTGTCGAATATGTATGTGTTGTACACCAATGCACACACACACAATCACCTTGAACATTCATCCATCGATAGAGAGAGAGAGAGAGAGAAAGAAGAGAAAAAAACTGACAAGAGAAAGAAAGCAGCTGCTATGACATCGTTCAATCAATATCAACGAATTATCTATAGGAAAAAAAATAAAGGTGTAAGAGAAAAATAATCATACAATCCTCTTCAAAATAATTGTTAGTTTTGTCAGCGTCTATTATATATATATATCATTGGCATAAATGTGTCTCTAATCAAATTAATATATATATAATCGGCGAGACACATATACATATACATTTTTTTTCTCCTTCTTTATTATCATATCATTATATTCGAAAGAATTTATTTATAACATAGTAGATATATGGATATATAAATACATATGTTTCTGTCCAAAGTACAATAAATCTCTAGAGATTCTTTCTTGCTTTTTTTTTTGTAAAGTACCTAAGAATATTTATTCATACCTTTTAAGTACATGAAAAAATTGTTTTTTTTTGATATATACATATTTGTTTAAAATTAAACATTTGAAAACTAGATAGAGATTGAATGAATGTCTTGTTACTTTTTAATCAGATGGTTGACTGAATTCATCAAAAAAAGAAAATTGTATCAACGAATAATCGTACAATACAATAGGCTTTTATAAGGAGGTCAATCGAATGATGATTATCATCAGGAGAAACAGCAGGAATAATAACAGAAAAAGAAAAACTAGTTGAACTTATTCTCTCTCTCTCTCGTTCTTTCGTTCTGTATAAAGAAGAAGAATAATGAAATTTCTAATTTCGATAATAAATAGCCTAAAGAAACAATGCACATGTCTGAATGCTCAATATAATTGCGTTCTTTTTCTAATTAGTAAAACTTCAGAAAAAAAGATCCGACTAATTGTAAACAAAGTTAACTGAACAAGAACGAGATCACATACCATCTGACAGTCTTTTATAAATAATAGATGAAAAAAAATATATTTGATAGTTATTGCAAATCTTTGAAATTATTGCCTAGTTTTTCTACGATCTCGAGACAATCTAGATTATACATTAATTGATTGACAGAGATAAGCAGACTTTTCTATGACATATATATATATATATATATAATTCATTTGTTCGATAGTATTAGAACTGACGATAGAATGAATATGTATTATCTTATAATTTTTGTCTATTTGGTCAGGTACTTGCCTACTGGCAAATATATACCATACTCATCATCACTATTATCGTCATCAGTTACAGTTGTATAAGGCAAGCGACAGAAATGAATAAGTAGGCGGGTGAGAAAGAGAAGGATAGTTACGTCAGTCATTTAGATAGATGGATGGAGTAAGTAAGAGAGAAAGTGTATGTATATGTCAATTGAAGGTCTAATTTCTGTCATTTCGATATTACATCGATGAAGAATGCAAGTATATATAAGTATGTGTATGTACACATTGGTGTTGTTATATTACGCGTGCATATATACATATTTACAGATGCTCATTTGTTCAAAACGAGCATTAATACTTCTGCGTAATTTGTTTCATGTTTCATTGAAAAAAAAGAAAAATGCTCTTATATCAAGCATGATATTAAATCATTATTATTACTATTATTATTATTTGAGAAAACTACGAATCTGATGATATTAGATTTCTGTTAATAATTTTATTGTAAAAATCTCGTGAGAATTCGTATAGATACCTGGTTAAAAGAACTAACGAACTACGTTTCATCTGTCATATATCTCCGTATATTATTTTTTTGCATGTTCACATGTTATTAAAAATTAAAATGATCTATTTAGTGCATGTATCTGCATCTGTTCACAACACAGCAGGATGATTAAATCTCTTTCTTATTAGAACATGTGAAAAAACAAGTTAAATATAGAATAAATGAATTGAAATGTCGAACATCACGAGTCTATTTTAAATTAATAAATTTTCTTTGTTTATATCGTTGACAAGCGAATGAAGGATATATATATATATATTCACTTACTTTTGCCTAATAATCGACGTGCTAATGTTGTCATTGTCAATAGAAAAGGAATGAAGTGAGTATCTAGAATAAAAGATCAAGTAGAGATATATGACAAAACATATCTTTTATTATCATATCAATAGAACAAGTCATAATAGCAAAAGATGAACAAAAGACGTTTTTTTTTTGATAAGATAACAAATTATTATGAAATAAAACGATTTGTATCAAGACAATTCTCGTTTTCTATTCACGACAATTTATAAGGTGGGAATAGAAAGAATATGTTGTTGGATTCTCTCTCTCTCTCTCTCCCTCTCTCTTTCTTTCTTTTTTTCTTCTTCTTCACAATTCCTATTCTAATTGTACTACTACTCCTGTTCTTTCGTTCTGACAAATAATAAGACGAGAGAAAAAAAAGAGAATCAAGCAGAAAAAAAAGATGACGTTGAACAAATGCTCCTGGCGTCCTTTCTCTTTCTGCACTTCTCATAACTGTCTCTATCCAGTTCATCGTCTATGAATATTAGATAGCGAGAACACGATGGCCATTACCAATACACCCCATCCATCCTATAATGATTCTTGTCTTGTCAAAAAGTTGAACACATCTGTTCAAGAGAGAAGATAAATTAAAAATACATAGTCGAATGTTTGTGTGAAATGCATAGCATGCAGGCTTTTCTTGTATATTCATCATTATAGTTTCCGGAGGCATCCATACAAATAGATAATTCTTATGAATGGAGAGTAAAAACACATCTAGGAAAAAAAAAAGGAAATGAATTCTCGTATTGGGTTCAATGAAGAGTATATGTCTAAGGATGTTGTTCAGTCAGAGCGGTAGGTCTTTTTTTTTTTTTTAATGATTAAGAATAACATTGATGAGGATGAATTTCTTTGCCTTTTCTTTAATGACTATCATCATGTGGAAAAGGGCAGTTTTAGTGAATAGATGATGTTTACTTTTCTCTGCTCATAGAAGATAATCAGAAGAATAAACAAATATATTTATATATCAATGAAAAACTAACATTAACCGTTAGTTAACATAAGCAACAGCAGGAATCTTTTTTTTTTCTAATTGGATTATTACATTGTAAAGAACAATTTTTATTAATTATTTCGATATTTATTGATAGAAACAATTAATATATTATTGCTTAATAAAATTCTTCTCGATAGATTTTACAAAAAAATAAATTTTGAATTTAATTCTTGTTCGAGAACGGAAAAATGTCAATAGCTTTTGGTAAATATTAATATTTGCTATGCATTAGTATTATTACAAGTGAAATTAAAACTAACAAAAACAAAAAAAAAAAACTTCAAAATTATATTCTTAACTATCAAAATGAATTTTTCTTTTTTTTTGTATTATTGTTGAAATAATATTTCAATAATTTGTATCAATCGATATAATTAATACATCAGAACAATAGTTATCAATTGTAAACTTTAGATTAGTCTATAACATGACGTTTTTATGTCTCATCTAATTTATATCACTAAATCAAATAAATAAGTAGAACATCCAAATTTGAATCTTTACACTGCTGAATGAACATCGTCATAATTAATATGATTATATGTAAACATAACTATTTGATTGTATTAGACAATTTAACTACCTACACACAGTGTGATATAAATCTAATAACAAAAAAATGTCTAATTTCTAAAGAATCATTGTTCGTCATTATATAGTCTAAAAGCTTGATAAAAAAAAACCTATTTAACGCATTGATGAACAAATCGTTTAGAGAAATATAAGATGTGTAACAAATGGAATTCTATAGAATAGATGATCTTTTTTTGTTTTTATGAGTATTATTTTCATTAAAAATGTTTGTTTTTCTCCAACGTAGTTCTAATATTTTATTAGTTACCAGTGTCTAAAAAAAGGACTCACCCTTATCTAGTCAACTTTAGCAATAAACTTCCGATCAATCTCATAAGAGATCTCCCCCTTCTCCAATCTTGGCACCCTCGGGACATTAGATATATATATATATATATTTTTTATAATACAACATACAACCACAATATTCACTTCGTGTGTATTCAATAGATTTTGTTAGAAATGATATTTTAAAACTTACCTAACGAAAAGTCTTCTTGTATGGTTAAAGTCAAATACTAGATTACAATCGTTCTTACTTAATTAAAAATGTTTCTGGAAATTTCGATATATTCTGTATTAACAAATCTTCATCATTTTGAATAATGACTGTTACCTTGTGTGATATTGTACAGAGTGCTTTGACAAACATGTAAACAATAGTAATAACATGACATTGACGATACGGCTATAGTTTGATATAAATGAATGACCTTCTATTATTGGCATAGTAATAAAAATGTTCTTGATTAGAAAGCCTGACAAAACTCCTACGAGTCTGTTACCTTGATATTTAGCTAGTAGAGCTAATGGAAAAATATTTTTTTTTCTATCGTACAATTCGTCTAGTAGAAGTTTCACCTTGTTGTTATCGAAGGTTACCAATGAAATATGAATGAATATTTTATCTATGAACAAAATCAAATAATGTTTGAATAAAATTAATAATAATGAATAAGTTTTAGCCGATCTCATCCATGGAATCAAGGTTCGATACTATAATTAGCTTTTAGAAGAACAAGTCAATTATAAAACCTAAATATATAATGATAGAAGAAAAACATTGTTATATTTTTTGACATTTTCTGCAAGTAGATTCATTCTATATTAATTTTATTTTCTTAGTATTATTTGCAGTATTATTCTGTGTAATTGAGATATCTTTGAGAATGTTTGATATCATTTTTTTTTTGAAAAATTGACAACGCTTTTATTCACAATAAGAGGAAAAAAAAGGAATAATTATAATTATTAAGATATATTTAGTTAACATGAATGCAATGAAATTAAGAAAAAAAAAGACGTTTTTTTTTGAACATACAAACAGCAATTCAAAAAAAAAGAAACAGTAATGTATTTAACCGTAATAAGACGAAATAAAAAAAAGATCACCGGATAAAAGAAGAAGAAGTCAACTGTAGATTTAAATTGAAAAAAAATTATATTCTAATTTTTTTTTAAAGAAGTTCTAGCCGATCCTTCTTCATAATTGATAAGTGATAACGTGATCGATTAACATTCGTCTTATTTTTTGATGTTATTTTTAATTGTTGTTGTGATTGTTGTTTTTTAAAAAATAAATTTTGTTCATGAAGAAAATTTTCTGTTGAACCAAATTGTAAAATTACTTCCGAACGGCTATCATCATCAAGTTCTTTGAAATCAATCCATAATAAATTTATTTTAATAATATCATCAGAAAATTGTTCACCAAATATTGATAAAGTATTTTTATGTGGAATATTTGTTGATAAATTTGGTAATGAATTCATTATTTGTGATTTTGGTGATGATGTAGGAGAAATTTTTGGTGAAATACTACCAATTGGTGTTCGATAATTTGAACTATTATTACTTGGTGTTGATGAACGTGATAAACGTGATGCTGATGATGATGATGTATTCATTGGTGATGGACGTTGTTTAATTGGAGTTGATTGTTTTGATTGTGTTGGTGTTACATTTGTTGTTGGTAATCGTCGACGAACTGTGGGTGGATATTTTTTTACAGTTGCAATAGCAGCAACAGTTGATGACGATGACGATGACGATGACGATGACGATGATGATGATGATGATGATGATGATGATGAAATATTTTCATTAGGTAATGAAGGTTTAAGACGTTTTATAGGACCGGGACGATTTTCAGCATCACATGATGATGCAGATCGTTGTACACCTTGACCAGGTCGTGTTGGAATATTATGACGAGTTGAATTTGCAAGTGAATTAGATATATTTGTTTTGATTGTTGTTGATGATGTTGGTGAAAGTTCCATTGGTGAAGAACTTGTAGCTAGAAGAAATTTTTATTAAAAATAAGAAAGGAAAAAGAAAAAAAAAATTTCATTGAATTTACTATTTGATAATGAATGACGTCCTTGTCGTTTAGCTACATTAAGTCGGACACCCATAGCCGCTTCAAGTGCTTCAAGACGAGATTGTAAATTTGGTCCCAACGATTCTAAATAGATAGATAGATATATAACAAAAACAAAACATACAAATCATCAATTAATTAGTTCTTTGTCTTCTATCATGCCTTTGAAAAGATACCTGAACGATGTAATTTTGTCGTCGCAGGCATTACTATATTTTTATATAAATTGTATTAAAATTAAATTATAAAATTCAAGAAGAAACAGTTAAATAATTCACTACTTCAATATGCACATGTGAATAAAAGAGAAAAGAATATATATATATAATGACACAGTAAGGCAGACGTGCCATAAGTATGGTGATGCAGGTCGATTTTATTTTTATGATCTTATTTTATTTTTCTTCTTTTCTCTTTTTATCTCGTTTTCTTTCGTTTATATGTGACAAATACTAATAGAGAAGAAAAACTTACGTTCACTATCAGTTGTTGGGACATCGACAGTATAAGAAGATGATATAGTTAATGGAGTTGTTTGAAGATTGTGCATATTTACATGAGAAAATCGCTTTTGCTCATATAATTAACATAAGATACGGAGATTATCTCCGTTAAGCATCAACGATTGACTTAACCTTCTGTCATATATACACATATGCATTTTACTTTTCATTCATTTTGATTTCTTTCTCGTTCATTCATCCATCTCATTTTTTTTCTTTTTCGTTCCCTTTTTTACATGTCTCAGATGATGACTATATCGAATAATCCAAAAGAAGCGAGGACAAGGTTGCTTCTATGAAATATAACGGCAAATGTATGAACAAGCGACCGATTAAGTTATGCTTACAAACAAGTAGACAGAGAGAGAGAGAGGGCAAAAAAAACAGGCGTTTCGACATTCACAACTTGCAAAGGACAATTGCATGGTGCACGCGCCTTTAGTCTTGACGGATTAGAGGCCAAATGTGAGAGTCTACTTTCTTTTTCTTTTGCTTTAATCTCATACAGCCATACAGGTAGCATGCTTTGTGATTGATTGATAAGACTTTTCAATGACTGTCGAGATATTAAAAAAGAAACTGAAGAAGTCAAAATTATATTATGTATTATTTTACTTTTTTCGGATGTGGACTTAGTCGATTCCGATTTGATAGTAGATTCAATAGGTGATGGTTGCTGTTCGGGATGTAATATAGTTTTATTGAGTTTATTTATTAATGGAGCTGCTTCATGCGTGATTTCTTCTGTATTCATTGTTGTTGTTGTTGTTGTTGTTGGTACGAGTAACAGTTGGTTTTTTGATTGAATAAAAGTATTTCTATTTATATTGAATGTTGTATCATAAATAGATAATTCACTTTGTAATGGCAATAAATCAGTAATTTTTTTTTGAATATTGAGTTTTGTTTGAGTAATGTCGTTCGTTAGTTTAATATATTCTGTATGAAATCGATTTATTTGACTTTCATTTAAATTTTTACTCTTTTTAAGAATATTTTTTAATGTTATTTCTTCGTCTTTAAGGATTTGTTGTTTTTGTTTGAGTTGATCAATATATTCATGTTGTTCTCCTTGAAAGATTTTTTGATAATAACTTTCAAATGTTATGTTTAGATTAAAAAAAGATTTTTTTTCTTCTAAATAAAATTGTTTTATTTCATTATATAAAGTTTTTTCAAATAAAATTTTTTGTTTTAATTGTTTTATATCTAATTGAATTTGATATTGTTCATATTGAATATGAAAAAGATTATTAATATAAAAATTTATCTGTTGATTTTGTTTAATTAATTCTTGTTTTAATTCATTTATATTATTTTCATATTGATTTATATTATTTTTAAGATTATTAAGAGTTTTAATCGATTGTTGAAGTTGTTTATCATATTGTTCAATATTAATTGATGATTGTATATTAAATAAATTTTTATAGAATTTTATTGATTGATAATGTTGTTTTTCAATTGTTTGAAAATATATTTTATTTGATTTTATAATAGATAAATCATGAAGTAATAAAGGAAATTTTCTATGATAATAATTATTACGTATTTCATAACGTTGATTAAGATCAATACGAGTTTTATTAAGACGAATTTTTGTTAAATTTGAATTATATTGAATAGATTTAATATGTTCACGATTTAATTCAATATGTTTATTTAATTGTTCAATAAATTTTTTATTAATATTATCGGTCATAATTAATAGTAACTATTTGAATGATTAAGTTAGAAGAAGAATTGTTGTTGTTTTCTTTTTCAACGTAGATAAATGTTTTAATTAAAGATCGACAAACCAATCGTTGCGTTTTTTTTCTATTTTTGAAATAATGCAATATAAGGTGAAAGTATACACACCATTTTTCTATTGTCTAATGTCATGATCTCCTCCTACTTTGATGTTCATTATGATATGTTGTTCTTCATTGAAGATTATGATGTATAGTATCATTAGTCCTTGTTAAGCTCCTATGTATTATACATATATTTATTCAAGGTGTTTTATTGGCTATATGTTCGTATTGGTTAGATACTTTCATACAAATCATTGAGATCAATGTTCATTAGTATGTTCTATAGGCATTTTTATACTTAAAACAGCAAATTTAAAAAATATCAAATTTCATATATATGAATAAAATCATTCGTTAGGCGGCGTGACTTCGCAATGAAATACTAAACTTTCCTAGAGCTAATTTATATATATATATATATATATGGGTGATTCCACTGGATTTATACCACTTTCCTGGAGCAGGTCTCCAATTAATATTTTGATTTGCTAGTTTATCCGATGAGAGCGTAAAAAGTTGATATAACACGAAGAAACCAAAATCACGAGCTGGCAACTTTGAGATTTTGTCAAAATGTGAGGTACATGTATAGCTAATTTCTATATAAAATTCGTGATTTTTTCAGAGAAAAACTCGAGAAAGTTCCTAGTAAATGTAGACGTTCCTCATATTTTGACAAAATCTTAAAGTTGACAGCTTGTGATTCCGATATGTTCGTATTATATTAACTTTTCATGCTGCCATCGGAGAAAGCAACATATTTTTAGCGATAGTCTTCGTTTTTTTCTAGCACAACAATGAATATTTCGTAAATCGACGCGTTTTCTAAAAAGTGGTATAAACTCAATGGAATTACCCATATATTACACGTATGATAAATTACTGTAGATATCCTGAACAAAATCAGTACTAGAGACCTTTGTTTAGAGGAGATATGTGTTAGAAAAAATAGCGTTAGCGACTTGACTGAGTACGAATATACAAACGAAAAGATGCTTTTATAGTCGAATGAGAAGTTCCGTTGTCTAGAAAACTGGAGTTTTAAGGGAAAGTGTTTTACAATCCGATCTTACTAAAAATTTTACCAGAGATGTAGTTCGTGCCGTAGAGTTTATCTTGAAATTTTTTGGAATTTTTTTTCGTATAATTGCAGAGATATTCACTAATTATTTTTTTAATTAATAATCAGCTGAAAGAAAGAGTCAACGTTTTTTATATGTCTATGCTAAAAGGAATTATTCAGAAGAATAATCCTTGTAAAGAATCAAAGTCAAATGAAGGTAAGTATATCTCGTTTTGTCTAGTATGGTCTATATATTTATTTATTTTGAAGATATGTGAGACATATTCAGATTTTCAGAAAAGTAAAATTCCGACATAGCAAAAGAATCTATAAAGAAAAAGAGATATAGGAATCTATTAGTAACTTTCGCAATTTCTAAACAATTTCGATAATTACCAATGTTCGACAAGGAAACTTCTCACTTTTTTCTAGAAAATAGAAAATAAACTATACAAATATTATCAGAAAACCTCTGAAAATATCATAATACATCAAAGAAATGTATTCCAAACATCGAGCTATCCTTAAAAATTACTCGAAAATTTTTGTAAGTATAGAATTTTTTGTATTTTTTCAATACAGATATATTTAAAAGAAGATCCTATCCTCTAAAATATTAGCAGTCTTGAAAATTAGTAGCAAATTTCAATAAATACAGTAGAAATTTTCGTATTTATTAAAATTTTCTGATGATTTCCGCAGAATAACAAAAATCATCAATATTTTGAAGGGTAAGATCTTGTTCTCCATATGAAAATACAGTGATATTTCTCGAAGACATATATACGTATATATGATAATTTCCGCATCTAATGAAGTTTGCTGGTAGTTTTACAGAAATTTTGTGAATTTTATATCTTTTTTTAGATGCTTAGATTCTCTGAAAGTAGTTAGAAATGTCTTTTTTTTGCGAATAGCTTATTATCGGAATTATGTGGAAGGCGCTAGTGATATATCAAGAGCTTCGAAATTTTTCTAGAGATTTTCTCGTAGTTCTTTCTGGAAAGGCGACCATAAGATTTTAACTACACAAGGTGACATATGTAGGCTCCTAGAGAAAGACTTTCTCTATCTAATGATATGTGCATTATCAAGTTCTACTATGTATTACTGATGTATTGATAGGTGGTGCCACCTATACATATATCAACAGTACACATTAGAAGCTACTTAGGCACCTTCTCTACCCCTATTTATCGTATCTAATTCATTATGTATTGTTGCCAAGTATATATATTTAAGGTCAAGTTGAGCATGAATAAACATTAAATATAATGAACTAACACTTTTATATTCCTTTATTGCTATATTATTTGGCATATATGACTGTATAGCAAAGTAACTTATCAAAAAACGATTGTAAAGATTCGTTTTATGATTATTTATGAGGGTTATATATTTGCGGGGGTTTCAAGTTAAAAGAATATCAAAGTAAGAACTTATCTATATCGATACTTCCGACGAACAAAAACAACATATATATATCTATAATAATAAACTTTTACTCTATCGGTAATTTGTAAGCATTTCTTTGTATCAAAAAAAATGATTATATTAATCGATCTTATCCAATCAACATTACTTTTTTCCCTCAATCTGTTCAACATCATGAATAGCAGTAGTGCTAGGATTTTTGACTAGGTGAGGTGAACTCCCTCAGATCTCCTGTGAGACCACTATTAGCAACAAAGTTAAAAATTTTCTGAGCAATTCAGTGACGTTGCCACTACTCATGAATCGATCAATAATAACTCAAGTGATGCGATACAGTCTATTTATAAAAATCTGCAGGATAATTATATTTCTTTTAATCATTAGAATCAAAACAAAACTTATATTAGAATCAAATGACCCACGAAAATTTTTATTTTTAATATCAATACTTAAACTACAATCAAAAGTTTCTGTCATAAACAAAATCATTCATGTTTTTCATTGTTTATATTTTAATTATGTGTATGTTTATGAATTTCGTTGAGAAATCTTCATTGTAACCTAGAAGAAAAATAATATCTAATAGTACATTTCTTTAAATATTTAAAAAACAAATACATACACATTTTGCTTCCGTATAAGAATCTAATGAATATTCACTTTTTTCTCTACCAAGGCCACTTTGTTTAAAACCTCCAAATGGTGCAACTGGGTCAAAATTATCATAAGTATTAACCCAAACAGAACCAGCTCGTAATCCATTACTAACAACTATACCTTTATCTAAATCATTTGTAAATACACTTGCAGCTAAACCATATTCTGTATCATTAGCACGTTCAATAACTTCATCAATTGTTTTAAATTTAAGAATTTGCATTACAGGTCCAAAAATCTTTAAAATAGAGACAATAAAAAACATAAAAAATAATAATAATAAAGAAAGAAATATTTTTATTAATTTACTTCTTCACGAGCTATTCGATGATTATCACGAACATCACTAAAAACTGTTGGTTGAACAAAAAAACCTTTATCACCTTCACGTTGACCACCTACAAGTAATTTTGCACCAGCTCTTCTTCCTGATTCAATTAAATCTAAAATTTTATCCATTTGTTCATGACTAATCTAAACAACAAAAATATCTTTAGAAAATAAAAACACAATTATTAATATTTCAAATATATTTACTTGAGGCCCTTGTTCAGTATTCTCATCAAATGGATCACCAACTTTTCGTCGTTTAGCACGTTCAACACTTCGTTGAACAAACTCATCATAAATTTTCTCTTCAACATATGTACGTGATCCAGCTAAATAAAAACATTTTTTCAAAATTATCTATTCAATAAAAAAAAAAGAAATCAATCATACCACAACAACATTGACCTTGATTAAAAAATAAAGCAAAATGTGACATTTCAACTGCTGTATCAACTAAAACAGTAAAAAAATTTTATTGTATGGAAATATTATTATTATTATTATTAAACATACGGTTACAATCAGCAAAAACAATATTTGGTGATTTTCCACCAAGTTCAAGTGTTGTACGTTTAACCATTTTAGCTGCTTCACCTCCAATTATTTTACCGACTTGTGTTGAACCAGTAAAAGCAATTTTATTAACATCAGGATGTTTTACAATAGATGCTCCACAATGTGGTCCATCACCTGAAAGAATATTGATAACACCCTAGAATAATCATTTAATTATTATATATAAAAGATTAAAAATAAATTTAATATCTACTGGTGGAAAACCGGCTTCTTGAATCAATTTACCAACATAAAGTCCTGTTAAAGGTGTATGTTCATCAAGTTTAACAACTGTCGTACAACCAGTAGCGACAGACGGACCAATTTTCCAACAAAGTAAAATCAATGGAAAATTCCACTTTAAAAAAGAATTCAATGAATTTGCATAAAAAAAATTTCTTTTTTATTTACTGGTATAATTTGACCAACAATACCGACTGGTTCACGTCGTGTATATGCAAAAAAGTCACCACTAATAGGTAAAACTTTTCCATTCATTTTATCTGGCCATCCAGCATAATATCTATTAAAAAAATTCAAATTCAAATATATATTAAAAAATTTTAATTTACCGAAGAACGGCAATACAATGAGGAATATCAATATTATATGAATCTTTAAATGGTTTACCATTATTAACTGTTTCTAAAGCAGCAAGATAAGCACGATCACGTTCAAAAAGATCAGCAAGTTTATATAGAAGATCACCACGAGCTGCAGGATCCTAAATATAATATAAGATTTTATTGATATAAAATAAAATATAAAACACTTTTTTTTTCTACTAACCATACGACGCCATTCAGAACCAAGTCGAAAAGCATCTTTACAAGCTTTTACAGCTTTATCAACATCTTTCTATTTAGAGATAAGAATAAAATAGAATGTTTTTTTTTTATGGGTTGCTGAAATTTATTAATAGTTTACAAAAACAATTTACTTCTGAAGCATCAGCAACTTCAGCAATAACATCACCCGTAGCTGGATTAAGAACTTCAAATACATTTCCAGCTATTGCATCAACAAATTCATTATTAATAAAAAGCTAGAGAAAATAAAATAAAATAAAATATAGAACATAATTATTTATTTCATTATAGATTATAAAAATTATAAACTAACTTTACGATAGTTCACTTGAGGATTTCGATCACCGACTAATTTTTGTTGTGCAGCCGTCGATGCAGCACGTTTAGTTAAACGAAGTCCATGATTGAAAACTTGTCGAGTTACTAGTTTAGACAGCATTACTTGCTAGATTGTGTTCTTTTCAATAGTATCTTTTGGCCTTCACCTGTTATTTATCTTATACTTATCTATTAATGATATTGCAGCTTAATAAGGTGAGAGACTAATATATTCCTAGAACCCCTACTTTTTATCAGTTGTCAAATAGTATGCCTCTTTCTCTGTTCTGTCGTAGTTTCCCCTTTTTTTTTCTTTTCATTCTGTATTTTGAATTTTAACCATGTAGATTTTTTTTTTTATTGCATACAAGTCAGTTAGTCTTCTAATGCTGTTATAAATAGCTATTAAAGAACAAATAATTTGTTTTTCATTATTATATCTCGTTTCTATAATTGACAAAAATTCTATTTTGTTTGATTTTATTATTATTATGTTTTTTCTTTAAAGTAATAAATGATAAATAGAAGCTTAAAATATACAAATATGCGTAAAACAAATGAAAACTAGAACATCATGTATATTAATTAGTTTATTTAATTGATATGAATATTGTTGCAAATATTTAACTAAGTTGTAAAATAAGATGAACTTCACCATGTGAACCAAGACCAAGATGAGCAGGTAATTTAACCCATTCATCTAATCGTCCACCAGCTTGTTGAACTTTTTTTAAATTAACTTTTGCTGAACCAATCGAATCTTTACCAACTACATCATCATCATAGACCTTGATATGTAAAGTATCGTCACCTTTTTGTAAATTACTATTTAAAATAAATAGAAAATATTGTTAAAGAAAAAAAACAATGTTTACTTACAAAGTAAAGTTTTCATTCCATGTTGGTGAATTAGTATCTTTAATAGTTGTTGTTCGTTGTTTATAATCTTTGTCTAAGTATAATTCAATATATGCATCATTTTGACCAAGAGTATCTTGATCTTTAAGATTACGAGCTTCAACAACTGTGACTCGAAGAGCTCCGTTTGACATATTTAATGTTAAGATTGAGTTGTCGACTAAAGAGAAATGCCTATGTGAAAGTAGACTGAAATAAGAAATTTTTCTCCTCGCCTTTTATAACACAGTAATTGTCATTGACTACTTCTAGAAAGCGAGAGAGAGAACGAGAAAGAGGAAAAAATTACCTTCGAAGCAATATACGTCAATAAAAAGAAATAACGTCAGGGTGAATTGGTAGAAGAAAAGAAAAAAAAATGAATAAGTATTATATGATTGTGATTCACGGTCTAAATATAACAAAATGCAAAATCTAAAAGATATGTTCCATATGAATCACATATGACATCAAGATACCATATGATACATACTGTTTCAATTTCAAGGTCTGTCTATGATTTCGATGTAGATAGGGGAGAAGAATTCAGGTGTATTCATGAATATAAAGTACAAAATTTTCTATTAATCATTTTAATGATCTATGTTTTATTCATAGTATTGTTTCATAGACATAAATATTCACAATAGTCATCAAAAGAGATTTGTCATAAATAATCTCTTGATAAACTGATAAGTAACAATGCATGTCTATGTTAGTGATTCATATGAAATTTGAAATTTTTAACTGATGAGTTTTATAGAAAATTATTCACAAGATTCGTTTGGTATCTAAATATATAAATAAATGATCATCACTTATTCATTGTTTAATAACAACAATTTACAAATTCGATTTGAGTTTAAACTTCATGTTCCTCTGTCTCTCTCTATTATTCGATACAATATATCATTTGCTAAAAATGTAAAGATTTCCAATTATGGAACAAAACATGTTCTTTTTTAATCATTATATACATGTGACAGATTAGTTTAGAATCTAATTGAAATTGCAATTAGGAAGCTGCAGATTCTTCTAGACCGGGACCCGAGCTCAAAGCTTTATATTTTGTCAGATCCGATTACATGCTTTTGTGGATCCGCTGCTTTCCAGATGAGAAATACAGCAATAAGATGTAACTGTACGTTGATTTTTTTTCTGAGAGCAGCGAATAATTAGCTAAAACCTTGATCCTTTACTTGTTCATGTACACGAAGGGTGCCAGGTGTTGATGGAAAAAACCTCGGTTTGGATTCGCATCCGACCGAGTCCAAATTTTTAATTTTTTTCGGGTACGGATCTAGGTCCACAAAAATGTGGATTCGTAGCTCCCTAATTGGAATACTGTTTTGTAGTCGCGTAATCAGGAGATCTTAGACGATAGCACAGTACTCTAGATTCTTAGGGAAATACATGAAATATAGTGTTAATGATGGTATTTATTATGTTTTTATTTCTTCTGGTAGTAGTAGGACAGCGCTCAACCTAACTCACTCATGATTACGTTACTACTATTTTGTTAAGTTTTAATAAAAGATTACATCAATAATGTGTTTGTTGAGTAAATAGTCCGTAGACATATCGTCAATAGATGAATAAAACATCTTGTTTATCGATAATTTGATTTATTTCTTCTTAGCACATATATCAACGACGAGAATATTTACACGATTTACAGGTAATAAATTAATCCCCTATATAATTCTTTTTTTTCTCCTATCGAGTTGAATTTATTGCTTAACTATTTATTTTATGATGGAGTCATTGAATGATTGGTTCAATTTTAAGAATTCTTAAAATTGTTTCTTCTTCTGTATATAATATATATTTTCGTTGCGTGTCTTTTTGATAATTGAGGCTTTGCATGGTTGGTCGGATTGCAAAAATTGGTAAACATCCATGTTGTACAGTTGTTCGCACTACCACACAATATATCGAATGATCTACTGATAGTTTTTATGTGGTTTGAATAACATGGATAGTTTACTCGTTGTTCAATAGACATGGGCAGCGATTCGAAAAAAATGTTTAATTGAGTTTGTTATTAATCGTGTTTGATTACGATACGACAATATAATTACTATTTGTTATATACATTAAGGAACACAAAGAAAAAACATTTACTGAATAGTATTCTACTTGTTAGATTTTTTACATCAAATTCATCAATATAAGGTTGCATTTTACAAGGAAAATATTTGTGTTGTTTATTAATAAGACTACACATATGCAGATCAAATTACAACCTTCACCGGCAAACTAAAAAATTTAAGATATAGGTTGTCTTTGGCGTGTACGGACCAAGATATTAAAATTTTAAAATATTTATAGTACACGCAAGGTGGTGCTCGTAATTAAAAATTTCAGCAGGTTTTTTTCCTTTCTGTTTTTGTGATGATTTGATCGAAAGCATTGAATTGCATAAGAAAAGGTTTGTTTCAAATACAAAAAGAAAGTTTTACAAAAGTTAGAATTTAGGACCTATTTTCTCCTATATTTGCAAATGATAATATCTTGAATGTTTTTTGTGAAATGTGTTTTTTTTTTATTTGAAACACACTTTTTCTTGTGTAATGCGAAAATATAAATAAACATGTGCATTTAGAAAATCAGTCATAATTTGTGTTTAATCCTTATATGTTTCATTGCAAGAATCATCAATAAATAAGATTCAAATCAATACACAAATGACTTAAAAATCTCTCATTGAATTAATATTACTCAATCGCATAAATATAGAAACTGAACTGTATAAAACAATGCCATAAATTATTATAAACCAACTGATTATCTTATGTTCATAGATTTCAAAATTTGAATACAACAACGAATATCAATTACTCCATAGCTCATATAATCAATATAATAGAGCACTCAAAAAGTATGAAGTGTTGTCGAGTGACAGATTCAATAGCCCGACTATCTTCCCTACGACTATGATTGGGTATAGCTCTGGACAGAAGGCCAGCCTGATGTGGAGTTCTTGCAGTCAACTGCCTGAGCTTTTCCTACGTACTAACTAACTACAAAAGTAATTATATGCCACATCGTAGTCAACATATTATCACACGAGTGATCCGAGACAAATAGCCGTTAGTGACTTGTCTAGAGCCATTTCATGGCTGTTAGGTACGTGTCGAACAGCATAGCCATGGTGACGACAAATAACAGAACACTTATTCATGTTTTTGGATTAAATGTAGCATTGTTTTTGTAAACTCTTGTACTAGTAAATTACATTATAATGATTGCAAAGCTTTATTTTTAAAATGAAAACATTTCGCTTAAACAAAATTCTTTTTCACTTCGTGCGACTTTTCCAAACTCAAATGAACTTTCATGTCAACTATGACAGATGTACATGAGTGCAGAGCACAGTCATTGTACTGTTCGAGCAAAAAAAAGTCGATAAAAATAAATTTAATAATAAGAGACAACAAAGTGTTGCATTTGATAGAGTGATGTCGATTGTGTACGTCAAAATAATATTTTCCTAATACTTTCCTGTATCAGAACCGATTGCTGTATGCTATTCTCATATATCAATCAGTCTTAATTTGTGAATACTTCAAGAAATGTCGCTCTGCACTTGGTTAGTAAAACTAAATTTTCTCTCGAACGCAGAAAGACTTTTACTTAGTCTTTTTTTGGGATATTACCCTAATATATGAATTGAAAAAAAGAATAAATTTTTTGTGCTAAACGGTTCAGTTCTCATTGAGTTATAAGAGTAACAATATTCAAAAAGTCGTTCTACATTCAGCTCGAAAATCATTTTTTAAAATCTTATGCAAAATTTTTATATTAACGAAGTTTATGAACCAGACCTTTTTGTTTTTACTTCTCAAATTATTTTCCCTTTATTTCTCTTTGATATTCAATCAAGTTAATTCAAAATGAAGTTTCTTCAATTGGAATGCCATTAATTTTAATGTCGATCTACACAAAAATGACAAGTATCTTAATGGCTATTGTCCTCCATAGTTTTTCACTCATAAAACTTTGTCTAAAGTTGAAATCAAAGACATATTCTAAAAGCTCTTGAAGAGTTCCACAACTCTAGCTGCAAAAATAATTTTAAGAAAATCGTAACGGAATAAAAAAAGATACTGGTTGACTTCTGACAGATGACATCAGTAGCAATGTACTTGATCGACCACTATGATTTAAGCAGATGAAAACTTTATTTTTTTCAGAAGTGCATGACTCTCTTCAGGCCAGTAA